TGCATCAGATATAGTAGTCGTGGTAGGAAGTTCATTTTAATAACTTGGACCCGGCCGAACCAGGAGATGTGGGGGTACGACCATTCCCCAGCATCTCTCTTGAGTGTGGTCAGCATTTGGGCAAAGTTTTCCTTAAAAAGGTCCGCGTTGGTTCGCGTGAGCCAGATGCCCAGATACCTAATTTTAGAGTCTGCCCATTGGAATGAGAAGCTCTGGCGGAGGGGTGTTTCCCGTTGGTGAGGTATGGATATGTTAAGGATGTATGATTTGGCAAAGTTGATTTTCATATTTGATATTTCCCCATAGTCACGGATGGCTTTAATAATGTTGGGGAGTGAGAGTTCAGGTCTGGAGACAAAGAAGAGAAGGTCGTCGGCGTAAGCCGCAACCTTGTGGTGTATGGTGCCCTTAGTTATCCCCGTGATGTCCCGGTTCGTTCTGATCGCTTGTAGGAATGGCTCTAAGGCTAGGACGAAGAGGATTGGTGACAGGGGGCATCCCTGCCTGGTGCCATTTTGTATCGTGAAGTCTTCTGTAGGAAGTCCATTCACTAGTATCTGGGCTTTGGGTTGCCTATACAGTGCCTCTATCCAGCCTCGCATGTATGCCCCCATGCCGAGGTGCGTGAGGGTCTGGAATAGGTATGTCCACCCAATCCTGTCGAAGGCCTTCTCCGCGTCCGTGGATAGCAGGAGAAGGCCCCCGCCCCCCCGTGGGCTATTGACAGAGCTCGAATCGTGTTGTCCCTGGCTTCCCGACCCATCACGAATCCCACCTGGTCCGAGTGCACCAGGGTGGGCACGTGTGGCTGCAGGCGGGTCGCCAGGATTTTCGCTAAGAGCTTCGTGTCACTGTTTATGAGGGAAATAGGTCTATAGTTGTTACAATAATCGCCATCCTTCCCCTCTTTTGGGATGAGCGTGACGTGCGCCCGTAGGGACTGCGGGGGCAGGTGGTGCCCCTCCCGGATCGCATTAAAAGAGGATAGCATTGGTGTGTATAGGGTCCCCGCGAAGCTTTTATAGTAGCGTAGTGGGAGGCCGTCGGGGCCCGGGCTTTTGCCCAGTCTGGATGCCTTGACTGCCATCGCAATTTCTTCTAAAGCGATGGGTTCGTCCAACGCGTCTGCTATTTCTTGTTCCATTTTCGTGTGTGTGTTAGTGTGTAGGAAGTCTGTTATTCGGGCCGCGAGGCTGGCTCGAGCGTGTGCGTCTTGTGGGTTCGGTAGGGAGTAGAGGTCCATGTAGTAGGAGCGTATGATCCTGTGTATATCAGTGGGGAGGCGGTGCGTTGTTCCCTTCCTATCCTTAATTCTGTCTATGTATGTCAGTTGTCTACGTTTGGTCAGCATTCGTGCCAACAGCGTACCACTCTTGTTGCTATGTGCCTCAAAAAATGCTTTTTGTCTAGCGGCTTCTTTATGGTGGCTGGCGTTCAGGAGTGTGGACAGTTCCCTTCTCAGCTCGAGAAGCCTAGCCTGGTGTGCGGGGCGGTTGTCCCTTTTGTTACTGTCATCTGTTGTCTGTATGTCATGTATTAGCGACGTGATACGGGCTTCTCTTTGTCTCTTGAGCCTCGACCCCTTGCGTATAAAGTGGTCCCTAATCACGCATTTATGTGCCTCCCATATGTATGTGGGCGACGTTTGGTCCGGAGTGTTAGTCGTGAAGTAATCCGTCAGGATCTCATCCGTCTCTGTCCGGACGTCTGGTAGGGACAGCAGGTAGTCGTTCAGTCTCCATTTAGTCGCCCTTGGCCTGTATATTGGGGAGGAGAGAGTGAGTGTCACCGGTGCGTGGTCAGACCAGGTCGCCGTTCCCACCTCCGTTGTCTGCACCAGAGCTAGGTGATGGTGTGTCGTAAAGAAATAGTCAAGTCGTGAGTATGTGTTATGTGGTTGGGACAGGAACGTATAGTCCCTTTCGTCTGGGTGGTGTGCTCTCCAGCAGTCTATGAGCTGCGAGCGTTTTAGTAGGGCTTTTATGTGGGTTAGGTGTTGCGTCGGGACCCTGGATGACCCAGAGGATGAATCCCATTTAGGGTCCATTGTCAGGTTGAAGTCCCCTCCCAAAATCAGTATGCCCTCTGTGAAAGTTTGCAATATACGCATGGTGCGGTGGAGGAACCTGTAGTGTCTTTGATTGGGGGCGTATATGTTGGCAAATGTATATGTGGTTTCGGCTATGGAGCCCTTCAAGAACAAGTATCTACCATCTGGGTCTGACTTAGTCTCTGTCTCATGGAATGGTACCCGTTTATGGATCAGTATGGCGACCCCTCTCGATTTGTTTTCCTTGTAGTCGCTATGTGTATTGGTCAGTTTGGGCCGAAGCCCTTCTTTGAAGTGTGTTTCCTGAATAAAGACCACGTCTGTTCTGGAGTTGTGGAAGTCTCTCGTGCGTTTCTCAGGTCTGTTGAGCCCCCTGGCATTTATTGTGGTGATGTTGAGGTCTGTGTGGCAGGGTGCCATGTTGAGGCCCTTAGAGGACCCCAGGGTGTCGGTCTAGGGGAGGTAGTCTAGGAAAGGAGGGGCGGAAAGGTAGGGGTGAGTGGTCTGTCCGTAGTGAACCAGCATCCGCCTGGGCGCTGTCTAGGATGTGGGTTGCCCGGGCAGGGCTAGTAGCCCACCCGCCAGGGGTGTGAGGCGACCCACTGCCCGGGGTCGGTAGCCCCCTCCTGTTGGGGGTCGAGGGAGGTCGCGAGTCTCGTGACAGCACCTGTGAGTGTGCGGGCTATTGTGAAACCGGTCTCTCAAGTCCTGGGGTTCACGTCCCATGTCATCCCCCGTCGGCTCTTTACGTGTAAAAGTAGCTTGTGTGTTCCTCGCTGCCTAAAGCGTGGCCCTAGGCCATGGAGCTTCAATGCGTGTCAGGTTTCTAGTGGATTAGAGTGTGGTTCGTATGGGTGTGTGTGCATTAAACAGTTAACATTTAAACTTTGAAACATTGGCAGAGGCATAAACAATAGGTTATGAAAGCTGTGTCTCAGCTTGTTGCCCCCCGTGGTCCCTCCCCCCCCCGTCCAGCACATCCCCCCCCCTCCCCACAGCAAAATCGCCGGCTTGTGTCCGCCAGCACCTCTCTCCCCGGAGGCCCGGGCCCCCCCCCAGGCCGGGCCGGGCGCCCCCCCCCCGCGCGCTCTCCTGCGCGGGTCGTCACGCGCTAGGGCAGGGGACCCCCGACCCGGCCCGGCCGGGGGGCACAGACCCCCGAATCCCCTCCTGCTCCCCACTGCGCCCCGAGTCCCCCCCCCAAAGTGACCTCTCGGCCCTCCCTGACCCGGAAGGCCTGAACGATGGTGCATAGTCCCCCCGGCCCCCCTGCGGGAAGGTCCAGATCATTCCCCCGGATGGCAGGGTGGGGCTCCAATGGTCCGCAAGTGGTGGCAGTTCAGGCTACCCAGGGCACTGAAGGGGCCAGCCCGGCCGGACTGGGCTCCCCGTCTTGCGCCCGATCAGCATTGTGAGTGTTTTATGAGTGCTGTGAGTGATTGGGGGCCCGGTGTCTGAGTGGTAGTGAGCGCCGGTACCTGGGGCCGGGTGGCACCCCAGGACTGGGTGTGGGAGGGTCCCTGTCCCCAGTGGGGCCCGGGCGGCATACCCGGAGGACTATGCAGAGGCCCCGGACGGGCGCATCGCCTGTTGTCGGCCCCGTCGCTGTCTCTGCGGTCTCTGCTGGGTTTGCTGGGCAGTAATGGCCGGCAGGTAGAAGGCCAGTGGGTCTGGCCATGTCATCTGGATCGGGGGAAGTTGCAGCTCCCGGGTCAGCTCCTGCAGGTCCCCTGCTTCCCGCACCAGCAAGGGGCCTGTCGGCGTGAAGATCTGCAAGCCGGTCGGGAAGGTCCAGCGGTAGCGGTGCTTGTTGGACTGCAGGATCCTCGTGAGAGGGCGCATGGCCCTGCGGTAGGCCAGCGTTGCCGGGGAGAGGTCTGGGAACAGCTGGATCAAGGCCCCATTCAGCGGTATTCGGTCCATCTCCCTGGCCCGTTGCAGGATCTCCTCCTTCAGGGGAAAGTTGGCTAAACAGCATACAATGTCTCTGGGGGGATCTTCTGAAGTCCCCCTAGGGCGAAGAGCCCTGTGGGCCCGTACAAACTCTATAGAAGAAATTTCAGGCCTTCCGAGGATTTTGTTAAAGAGGCCCGCCAGGATCTCCTGTACTGGTTCCGGATTTGCGGTGCTCTCAGGGACGCCCCGAACTCTGATGTTCTGTCTTCTGCCTCTGTTATCGAGGTCTTCGATATGGTGAGCCATCTGTCTGAGCTGAGTTGCTTGGGTGGTTATGGCGTCTGCGTTCGCCGTTTGTACTGACTGCACGTGGTCAGAGTCTGCCTCCAGTTGCGAGACTCTGTGATTGAGGCCTTGCAGGTCCTCCCTCATGGCATGCAGTTCCTCCGTGATGGAGCGTTGCAGAGCCTGGTTCGCCGCTTTCAAGTCCGCCTTCGTCGGGATGTTGCCGAGCATCCGCATCCACTCCGGGGGCATCGCCGGCTCCCCCTGTGGGGCCGACTCCCCCCCCCAGTTAGGCGTCTGGGTGATGTCTGCGGCCTCGGAGTCATTTGAGGCCTGTGAGGTGAGGTCCGCCGGCGTGGTGAGGTAGTGCCTTATGGACGGGGCCGGGGACCCCCTCGGGGTGTCGGCAGATTTGGCCGCTTGTGTTACCCTGTGGGATTTCCCCATTTTAACGTTTGACACGCTGCACAGCGAGGATGGAAGCTGAGCCTTTGGGGAGCTCACCGTTTATGCTGCCATTTCTCTCGGCGTCCAGGCCACGCCCCTGAAGAAGTAAGTTTTTAATGATTTTTTATTTTTTTGACAGAGTGGAGAATGGGTGAGTGTCTAACAGAGGATATGTATAGCGTGGAGGAAAGACGAGACAGGGGGGATATGATAGAAACATTTAAATATATAAAGGGAATCAACACAGTAAAGGAGGAGACTATATTTAAAAGAAGAAAAACTACCACAACAAGAGGACATAGTCTTAAATTAGAGGGACAAAGGTTTAAAAATAATATCAGGAAGTATTACTTTACTGAGAGGGTAGTGGATGCATGGAATAGCCTTCCAGCTGAAGTGGTAGAGGTTAACACAGTAAAGGAGTTTAAGCATGCATGGGATAGGCATAAGGCTATCCTTAACTATAAGATAAGGCTAGGGACTAATGAAAGTTTTTAGAAAATTGGGCAGACTAGATGGGCCGAATGGTTCTTATCTGCCGTCACATTCTATGTTTCTATGTTTCTATAACGAATGCAGTAATATATGGTCCAGTTTTCTGAATTCAGAGGAATTTGAACTCGTACCTTTCAATGGTTCCATCAACTATTCCCAGAAGAAGGAGCAACATGAAAATAATGTGCAAGCCCTCCCAGCAGTGTGTGACAGCAATGCATTATGGAATTTAACAGCCAGTTTCCAGAACACTTTATATTAAATATCCCCCGTTACCCGTGAGCCAATGAAATGTGACTGGTGGCCATAGCAATCACAGAGCAATCAGGTCAAAAACGCTCGAGCAAGCTGTGCTTTTTCACATTGCCCAAAGTGATTGCGGCATGAGTGCGTCCTGAGAAGTTCTAGTATTGGAGCTGGAAGATGTCAGAGTAACAGAAACCACAGTCCTATTAAATACAAAAAGAAAAGTCCTGCGCTCACTCCCATCACTCCTGGGCGGCAGCAACGACCACAGTACACATCAGCTCCAATACATATAGTAAAAACCAAAGAAAAAGTTACCTGCGCTCTCCTAAATGCCTATGTATAATTAAACAAATGGAGGTCATTTACTTACTCCAATGGCGATTGGAAGGAATGTCGCCTGCCAACGTCAAGGCAGACCCGCAGTGTCAGTGTTAACCCGCATAGGGGGGTCTGCCTTGACGTTGGCAGGCGGGCATTCCCTCCAATGGCCATTGGAGTTACTAAATGACCTCAATTTGTCTAAATATACATAGGGATTAAGGAGAGAACGCAGGTAACCTTTTCTTTGGTTTTTACAGTCCTATTAAAGGACCACTATAGGCACTAAGACCACTTCAGCTTAATGAAGTGATCTGGGTGCCTGGTCCAGCTAGGGTTAACCCTTTTTTTTTTTTATATAAACATAGCAGTTTCAGAGAAAATGCTATGGTTACACTGAGGGTTAATCCAGCCTCTAAAGCCTCTAGTGGCTGTCTCATTGACAGCTGCTAGAGGCGCTTGCGTGCTTCTCACTGTGAAAATCACAGTGAGAGCACGCAAGCGTCCATAGGAAAACATTATAAATGCTTTCCTATGAACTGGCTGAATGCGCATGCGCATTCAGCCGATGACGTCACTATGAAGGAGGAGAGGAGGAGGAAAGCTCCCCACCCGGCGCTGGAGAAAGGTAAGATTTTATCCCCTTCCTCTCCCCAGAGCCCGGCAGGAGGAGGACTCTGAGGGTGAGGGCACCCTCAGGGCACAATAGTGGTCCTTTAAATGAACAGCTTTATCCGGACCTTACAACTCCAACGCCTGAAAAGGCAAGTCAATCCCAGGGTATAAGAAGTAAAAATATACGCGTCCACGTCGTATATAATAAAACACATCATATTTATTTTACATCGTAGGGTTAGATAAAACCATAATATGACATTTCCACACCAAAACTGCAGCACAAAGCCAAAATATAGAACAGAAGATATTGCACGTCCACGCATTTCATTTCAAAAACATGTTTTCCAAGACAAGTTTTGAAATGAAATGCGTGGACGTGCAATATCTTCTCTTCAATTTTTTGGCTCCAAGCTGCTATTTTGGTGTGGAAATGTCATATTATGGTTCCATCTAACCCTACGAGGTAAAATAAATATGATGTGTTTTAATATATACAACGTGGACGTCTATATTTTCTAGCTCTGAAGCAGTGGACCCAGAACAGACTGGAGGCTCACTTTGTGATGATTTTAAATAATAGTTAGATTAGATTAGTAAATAATAGTTAGATTTTCTTCTGACCATTACTTAACCACATTCTACTCTGTTTCATTAACTAGGACCAGATTAAATAGCTACGTGAAAGTTTCCATAGGATAGGCATGAACCTGGAAGTGCCCTCGGGTACGGGCGCCATCATGCCAAGACAGCTGCGACGGCCCCACATTCCCAGCAGCTGTACTACCCCCAGGGCCTGGGGCACTTTAACAGCGTGATCGGACCCCTGTAATATCGACCGGCTGTGAGGAAGTGACAGAGCCGTGTGGGAGGAAAGCGTGAGCAGCATGTATGTCGGTGTGACTGAATCTGTGTGTCAGTGTATACAAGCAAATGTATGTCCGCATTCAAATGCCAACATTCACACACACATAGTCCATATAAAAACATCCCTTCAAAGACACAAACACTGCTCAGTGCTAAATACAATAAGATGGTAGAGCCACAGCTGGCAAAGCAATGTGGAATTTGTACGACATTTTGATCTCGTGCTAGAGTGGACCTATAAAAATCTTTGCGATTGTCAACTTCCCGAAGCAATCTCCAACTCTTGCGAGCCCCCCGCCATTGGAGCGTTGCCACAGGTAACTATGGCAAAGATCCGCGCAACATGAAGACCGGGCCACTGTGGCTGGACTCAGGGTTGGGCCACGGGGGCGGCAAAATTTCTGATGGCGGCCCTGCCTCTGGTTATAGTGGAACACTGCAAGCACCATAACTACTACAGCATGCTGTAATACAGAGCCAGGAACGTCCTATTGCTTTCCCAATGTAAGCAGTCAAACCGTTTGTTAAATGTTTGACTTGGTACCTGCGGTCTGCTGTGTGCCGCTCCTTGCCTCTTCTTTAGCTAGAAGCTCACAACTCAGATGTAAGCCGGCAGCTAAGGACTGGGGTCATTGGCCGAGAGTGATTAGCTGATCGCCCAAATAGGTATGCACTGCAGGGCTTAGCTCAGGAAAGCCACCACAAGCTCATAAGGAATAGCTTTTGGCTGTGCTGCCTACCAGGAGGAGGTGAGGAGTGGCACCCAGTAGACACCAGGTAAGATTGTTCTAAAACTATTTGACTACTTCCATTAGGGTATTCCTGGCATTGACACCACTACCGTGTGCTGTAGTGATTATGGTGTCTGAAAGTTCTACAGTGAAGCTCCTCATTAGGGCTTAAGAGATGATAAATATGCAGGACTTAATGAACTATATCAGGGTCAGCTTTATTTCTATGTTAACATAGAAATAAAGCTAGCAAATGTGTAGATTAGCAGATATCATAAATAAAAGCCATTACTTGGAATCCAGTGCTAGAGCAGGGGAACAGGTAGATCAGACGTTCTGTAGACACTTAGCTTTGCTGGAGGAACAGATCAAACAGGCTACTGAGCAAGAGCTAAGTATGGAGCTGCCCTGGCCAACTTCCTACATGGAAACGGGAAATGTGACGTGTATATGTTTTGTATTTCTGATTGTTATATGTACCAACCATCATTTATTATAGATTTATAAGAAATTTGTACAGTTCTGGGTGAGAGAGCCCATTTAATCTTGCACGATATTTCTGAATACTCAAGACACTCTGTTTTCAGACGGCTACCAGCAACAAGAAAAATTATATTTCTATACCTGACTTTTGTCATTACCAAAGTAAAGCCTTATTTGCCTTTGCGGCCAACGAAATCTCATTTATGATAATTGGTGTGCCAGACAATTTGCAGTTTGAAGATGCATATGTTCTTTGATGAGTTTCATGCATGGTCACATAAAAATAAGACAACCTCGAATGTCTAACATTCAAAATAGACCATGGTGGACCTCAACACACCAAACAGATCTGTATAAAATTCAGACCACAATATTTATCACAAAATCAAAATCAAAGGATTTCACTGCTTCGTTACAGTCTTTACAATGAGTCCTTTAGGTCAAGACGCAGGCCCGAAGAGTGAAGTGAATATTCTCACCTGCTGAGTATTTGTAACATTCAACTTAGTGGTTGACTGCTTAAACTGCATATTCTTTGGTGTTAAATTGGTTTCTACAGCAGAAAGATTAAAGTGGCTTATAGGAATCTGCCTTGAGACCAGGTCTTTGGAACAAATAGATTAATACACACAGATGCTTTCAGTGGGGCTTCCCCAGAAATATCCCAAATGAAGGTCTCATGTGAGACATTGAGAAACCATCTAGTAGTTCTGTAACCTGCCCCCAGTGTGGGTTTTTTGGTGAGTCTTCAGATGGTGAGACTGCACAAAAGTCTTGGAGCACAGCGTACACTTGTACGGTCGTTCCCCAGTGTGAATTCGCTGGTGAACTTTGAGAATTGAGTTCTTGATGAATTTTTTCCCACACACAGTGCAATGATAAGGTTTCTCTCCTGTGTGGACTCTCTGGTGGACCATCAGTTCGTAGGGCTGTCTGAATGTTTTCACGCAGTGGTGGCAATGATAAGGTCTCCCACCGGCATGCCCAATCTGGTGTCTGAGGAAACGGGCCAGGTCTGAAAAAGTTTTAGAGCATTCATTGCACTGATATGGCCTGTCTCTTCTGTGCTGGGGCAAATGGGACAAAATACCCACACGATTATGCCATCCACTCCATTTATACAGTGAACCATTCAAGATGTAGTCTGCAGCTGGCAAGTCATTCTGGTCCACATCTTCCTGTCCGAACTCTAGAAAATGATATGTATTATTAACGGTGCTATACAGTATATACTTAATATAAGATGTATGGACTGGATCAATCTCTTTCACAAAACAAATACTAATAACCTATTTGATGAATCCATTAAAACATAATCCATATTAGTGCACATTTTTGACTGCTGGTGCTCTATTAAGTTCTACTTCATTAAGTTAAATTCTAACTCGTGGACTCTCCAATAAGCTTAGATCAAAAGACGATATTCCTAGGTAAACTTAAAATAGGGAGACTCGGGTTGATAAATATAACACAATTCTCTTTCATTAAATGGAAAGTATAACTCCCTGTGATGGGTAAACAGTGCTTCTATGCAAAAGCATATTGAATAAGTATATTATATGTGGAAGTAAATAATTTACTATAACTTGGATGATCTGGGATGGAATACATCTACATCTAATATTCAATAAACCATTGGTTTAAATATTTCAGCAACATGTTCATGTAAATTATAACTTGTACACGTCTGCCTCATACACGTTATAATTTATGTACTGTAACAGGTATTTAGGCCAGTAGCAATATTCCTACTAGGCAATACTGGTGGCCTCACCTTGGTTAGGTCCATCTTGTGGGTCTCTGTCTCCAGAAGCTTGACTTATCCACATCTCCTCCATGTCAGTGGTTCTCATGGCTGAGTCACTCTCTGCAAATAGGATTAAAAGTTACATACGTGGAATACATAATGACCATGTTTTAGTAATTTCAGAACACACGGATATTACTGATCAAAGAGAAGGAAAACTATATGTTGTTTGAGCAGGGACTTTACCACCTCTTGTTCCTGTAAGTTAAAATTGCCTAGGTGCCGTTCTTCGTTCTTCCACCTACGGTTTTAATACAACACAATATACAATATGTAAATGAACTACAGACATAATTCAAGCTGTGTATCTTTTGATCCATGCATGTTTGGCTCAGACCATGTAAAACTACCAGCTCTGACATAACAGCTGTATTTGAGTTTAGTTACATTGCTAAGTGATCAAATTAAACCTTTAAAAGTATTCTTTCTATAAAGTGTATGGATTGCTTCTCACAAATCCAGTTTATACAATGCTGCTTCCTTGTCTGGACCAGGTGTCTCCAGCTATTATGGTTATATGCAAATGATATAATATCCCCTTTTATCTTTATTTTAAATGACCAGTTTTAGAATTTAATGTTAATATTGCTCCCTCATCCATAAACATGCCATATGAGTTTGGATGTCAAGTTATTTGGTAGGTCAGTCATGCTACTTCCTGTATGTGGAACAGGTTGACCTACAGAGCAAAACAGGCTATTCATATCACTTCCTGTCTCAGACCAGACATAGCAGGACAAAGCTTCAATGCTAATGTATATTTTTATCTATGTAAAATTCTGAGAGTTAGGGAAATCACATTAGTGCATACAATAAGGGGCAATTCTTAAGAAATCTAGAGGAAACCTAGCAGGGAATCAACTACAATAATGAAATCCAGATAAAGAGGGCATCCTAAAATAGACATAGAATCATGGAGCATTCCAAGGGAGATAGAAAGCCCAGCAATTGATTGATTCAGGGATATTTCCAAGGGAGAAACAGAAAGCCCAGCAATTGATTGACTGAGGGATATTTCCAAGAGAGACAGAAAGCCCAGAAATGGATTGATTAAGGGGTATTCCCAAGAGAGACAGAAAGCACAGTAATGGATTGATTGAGGGATATTTCCAAGAGAGAGATTGAAAGCCCTCAATCAAATGAATTGATTTACAAAAGAGAGACAGAAAGCCCAGCAATGGATTGATTGAGGGATATTTCCAAGAGAGAGACAGAAAGCCCAGCAATGGATTGGTTGAGGGATATTTCCAAGAGATAGATATAGAAAGCCCAGCAATGGATTTATTGAGGGATATTTCCACGAGAGACAGGAAGCCCAGTAATGGATTGATTGAGTGATATTTCCAAGAGAGACAGAAAGCCCAGCAATGGATTGATTGAGATATATTTCCACGAGAGACAGAAAGCCCAGTAATGGATTGATTGAGGGATATTTCCAAGAGATAGAAAGCCCAGCAATGCATTGATTGAGGAATATTTCCAAGAGATAGAAAGCCCAGTAATGGACTGATTGAGGGATATTTCCAAGAGACAGAAAGCCCAGCAATGGATTGATTTAGGGATATTTCCACGAGAGACAGAAAGCCCAGCAATGGATTGATTGAGGGATATTTCCACGAGAGACAGAAAGCCCAGCAATGGATTGATTGAGGGATATTTCCAAGAGATAGAAAGCCCAGCAATGGATTGATTGAGGGATATTTCCACGAGAGACAGAAAGCCCAGTAATGGAGTGATTGAGGGATATTTCCAAGAGATAGAAAGCCCAGCAATGGATTGATTGAGGGATATTTCCACTAGAGACAGAAAGCCCAGCAATGGATTGATTGAGGGATATTTCCACGAGAGACAGAAAGCCCAGTAATGGATTGATTGAGGAATATTTCCAAGAGATAGAAAGCCCAGTAATGGATTGATTAAGGGATATTTCCAAGAGACAGAAAGCCCAGCAATGGATTGATTTAGGGATATTTCCACGAGAGACATAAAGCCCAGCAATGGATTGATTGAGGGATATTTCCACGAGAGACAGAAAGCCCAGCAATGGATTGATTGAGGGATATTTCCAAGAGATAGAAAGCCCAGCAATGGATTGATTGAGGGATATTTCCACGAGAGACAGAAAGCCCAGTAATGGATTGATTGAGGAATATTTCCAAGAGATAGAAAACCCAGCAATGGATTGATTGAGGGATATTTCCACGAGCGACAGAAAGCCCAGCAATGGATTGATTGAGGGATATTTCCACGAGAGACAGAAAGCCCAGTAATGGATTGATTGAGGGATATTTCCAAGAGATAGAAAGCCCAGCAATGGATTGATTGAGGGATATTTCCAAGAGATAGAGATAGAAAGCACAGTAATGGATTGATTGAGGGGTATTTCCAAGATAGACAGAAAGCCCAGCAATGGATTGATTGAGGGATATTTCCAAGAGAGACAGAAAGGCCAGCAATGGATTGATTGAGGGATATTTCCAAGAGAGACAGAAAGGCCAGCAATGGATTGATTAAGGGATATTTCCAAGAGATAGAGATAGAAAGCCCAGCAATGGATTGATTGAGGGATATTTCCAAGAGGGAGAGACAGAAAGTCCAGTAATGGATTGATTGAGGGGTATTTCCAAGAGAGAGAGACAGAAAGCCCAGCAATGGATTGATTGAGGGATATTTCCACGAGAGACAGAAAGCCCAGCAATGAGTTGATGGAGGGATATTTCCAAGAGATAGAAAGCCCAGTAATGGATTGATTGAGGGGTATTTCCAAGAGAGACAGAAAGCCCGGCAATGGATTGATTGAGGGATATTTCCAAGAAATAGAAAGCCTAGTAATGGATTGATTAAGGGATATTTCCAAGAGATAGAAAGCCCAGCAATGAATTGATTGAGGGGTATTTCCAAAAGACAGAAAGCCCAGCAATGGATTGATTGAGGGGTATTTCCAAGAGTGAGAGATAGAAAGCCCAGCAATGGATTGACTGAGGGATATTTCCAAGAGTGAGAGATAGAAAGCCCAGCAATGGATTGATTGAGGGATATTTCCAATAGTGAGAGATAGAAAGCCCAGCAATGGATTGGTTGAGGGGTATTTCCAAGAGTGGGAGAGAGAGATAGCCCAGCAATGGATTGGTTGAAGGATATTTCCAAGAGTGAGAGATGGAGAGAGAGAGAGAGAGACAGAAAGTCCAGTAATGGATTGATTGAGGGATATTTCCAAGAGTGAGAGATAGAAAGCCCAGCAATGGATTGGTTGAGGGATATTTCCAAGAGTGAGAGATAGAAAGCCCAGCAATGGATTGATTGAGGGATATTTCCAAGAGAGAGAGACAGAAAGTCCAGTAATGGATTGATTGAGGGATATTTCCAAGAGTGAGAGATAGAAAGCCCAGCAATGGATTGGTTGAGGGATATTTCCAAGAGTGAGAGATAGAAAGCCCAGCAATGGATTGATTGAGGGATATTTCCAAGAGAGAGAGACAGAAAGTCCAGTAATGGATTGATTGAGGGGTATTTCCAAGAAAGAGAGATAGAAAGCCTTGCAATGGATTGATTGAGGGGTATTTACAAGAGTGAGAGATAGTTATTTGGTAGGTCAGTCAGTCTACTTCCTGTATGTGGAACAGGTTGACCTACAGAGCAAAACAGGCTATTCATATCACTTCCTGTCTCAGACCAGACATAGCAGGACAAAGCTTCAATGCTAATGTATATTTTTATCTATGTAAAATTCTGAGAGTTAGGGAAATCACATTAGTGCATACAATAAGGGGCAATTCTTAAGAAATCTAGAGGAAACCTAGCAGGGAATCAACTACAATAATGAAATCCAGATAAAGAGGGCATCCTAAAATAGACATAGAATCATGGAGCATTCCAAGGGAGATAGAAAGCCCAGCAATTGATTGATTCAGGGATATTTCCAAGGGAGAAACAGAAAGCCCAGAAATTGATTGACTGAGGGATATTTCCAAGAGAGACAGAAAGCCCAGAAATGGATTGATTGAGGGGTATTCCCAAGAGAGACAGAAAGCCCAGTAATGGATTGATTGAGGGATATTTCCAAGAGAGAGATTGAAAGCCCTCAATCAAATGAATTGATTTACAAAAGAGAGACAGAAAGCCCAGCAATGGATTGATTGAGGGATATTTCCAAGAGAGAGACAGAAAGCCCAGCAATGGATTGGTTGAGGGATATTTCCAAGAGATAGATATAGAAAGCTCAGCAATGGATTTATTGAGGGATATTTCCACGAGAGACAGGAAGCCCAGTAATGGATTGATTGAGGGATATTTCCAAGAGAGACAGAAAGCCCAGTAATGGATTGATTGAGGGATATTTCCAAGAGAGACAGAAAGCCCAGCAATGGATTGATTGAGGGATATTTCCACGAGAGACAGAAAGCCCAGTAATGGATTGATTGAGGGATATTTCCAAGAGATAGAAAGCCCAGCAATGCATTGATTGAGGAATATTTCCAAGAGATAGAAAGCCCAGTAATGGACTGATTGAGGGATATTTCCAAGAGACAGAAAGCCCAGCAATGGATTGATTTAGGGATATTTCCACGAGAGACATAAAGCCCAGCAATGGATTGATTGAGGGATATTTCCACGAGAGACAGAAAGCCCAGCAATGGATTGATTGAGGGATATTTCCAAGAGAGACAGAAAGCCCAGTAATGGATTGATTGAGGGATATTTCCAAGAGACAGAAAGCCCAGCAATGGATTGATTGAGGGATATTTCCACGAGAGACAGAAAGCCCAGTAATGGATTGATTGAGGGATATTTCCAAGAGATAGAAAGCCCAGCAATGGATTGATTGAGGGATATTTCCACGAGAGACAGAAAGCCCAGCAATGGATTGATTGAGGGATATTTCCACGAGAGACAGAAAGCCCAGCAATGGATTGATTGAGGAATATTTCCAAGAGATAGAAAGCCCAGTAATGGATTGATTGAGGGATATTTCCAAGAGATAGAGATAGAAAGCACAGTAATGGATTGATTGAGGGGTATTTCCAAGATAGACAGAAAGCCCAGCAATGGATTGATTGAGGGATATTTCCAAGAGAGACAGAAAGGCCAGCAATGGATTGATTGAGGGATATTTCCAAGAGAGACAGAAAGGCCAGCAATGGATTGATTAAGGGATATTTCCAAGAGATAGAGATAGAAAGCCCAGCAATGGATTGATTGAGGGATATTTCCAAGAGGGAGAGACAGAAAGTCCAGTAATGGATTGATTGAGGGGTATTTCCAAGAGAGAGAGACAGAAAGCCCAGCAATGGATTGATTGAGGGATATTTCCACGAGAGACAGAAAGCCCAGCAATGAGTTGATGGAGGGATATTTCCAAGAGATAGAAAGCCCAGTAATGGATTGATTGAGGGGTATTTCCAAGAGAGACAGAAAGCCCGGCAATGGATTGATTGAGGGATATTTCCAAGAAATAGAAAGCCTAGTAATGGATTGATTAAGGGATATTTCCAAGAGATAGAAAGCCCAGCAATGAATTGATTGAGGGGTATTTCCAAAAGACAGAAAGCCCAGCAATGGATTGATTGAGGGGTATTTCCAAGAGTGAGAGATAGAAAGCCCAGCAATGGATTGACTGAGGGATATTTCCAAGAGTGAGAGATAGAAAGCCCAGCAATGGATTGATTGAGGGATATTTCCAATAGTGAGAGATAGAAAGCCCAGCAATGGATTGGTTGAGGGGTATTTCCAAGAGTGGGAGAGAGAGATAGCCCAGCAATGGATTGGTTGAAGGATATTTCCAAGAGTGAGAGATAGAAAGCCTTGCAATGGATTGATTGAGGGGTATTTACAAGAGTGAGAGATAGAGAACCCAGCAATGGATTGATTGAGGGGTATTTCCAAGAAAGAGAGACAGAAAGTCCAGTAATGGATTGATTGAGGGGTATTTCCAAGAAAGAGAGACAGAAAGCCCAGCAATGAATTGATTGAGGGGTATTTCCAAGAGTGAGAGATAGAAAGCCCAGCAATGGATTGGTTGAGGGATATTTCCAAGAGTGAGAGATAGAAAGCCCAGCAATGGATTGGTTGAGGGATATTTCCAAGATTGAGAGATAGAAAGCCCAGCCATGGATTGGTTGAGGGATATTTCCAAGAGAGAGACAGAAAGCCCAGCAATGGATTGGTTGAGGGATATTTCCAAGAGATACATATCGAAAGCCCAGCAATGGATTTATTGAGGGATATTTCCACGAGAGACAGGAAGCCCAGTAATGGATTGATTGAGGGATATTTCCAAGAGAGACAGAAAGCCCAGCAATGGATTGATTGAGGGATATTTCCACGAGAGACAGAAAGCCCAGTAATGGATTGATTGAGGGATATTTCCAAGAGATAGAAAGCCCAGCAATGCATTGATTGAGGGATATTTCCAAGAGAGAGACAGAAAGCCCAGCAATGGATTAGTAGAGGGATATTTCCAAGAGATAGATATAGAAAGCCCAGCAATGGATTTATTGAGGGATATTTCCACGAGAGACAGGAAGCCCAGTAATGGATTGATTGAGGAATATTTCCAAGAGAGACAGAAAGCCCAGCAATGGATTGATTGAGGGATATTTCCACGAGAGACAGAAAGCCCAGTAATGGATTGATTGAGGGATATTTCCAAGAGATAGAAAGCCCAGCAATGCATTGATTGAGGAATATTTCCAAGAGATAGAAAGCCCAGTAATGGATTGATTGAGGGATATTTCCAAGAGACAGAAAGCCCAGCAATGGATTGATTTAGGGATATTTCCACGAGAGACATAAAGCCCAGCAATGGATTGATTGAGGGATATTTCCACGAGAGACAGAAAGCCCGAAAGCCCAGCAATGGATTAATTGAGGGATATTTCCAAGAGATAGAAAGCCCAGCAATGGATTGATTGAGGGATATTTCCACGAGAGAAAGAAAGCCCAGTAATGGAGTGATTGAGGGATATTTCCAAGAGATAGAAAGCCCAGCAATGGATTGATTGAGGGATATTTCCACGAGAGACAGAAAGCCCAGCAATGGATTGATTGGGGGATATTTCCACGAGAGACAGAAAGCCCAGTAATGGATTGATTGAGGAATATTTCCAAGAGATAGAAAGCCCAGTAATGGATTGATTAAGGGATATTTCCAAGAGACAGAAAGCCCAGCAATGGATTGATTGAGGGATATTTCCAAGAGTGAGAGATAGAAAGCCCAGCAATGGATTGATTGAGGGATATTTCCACGAGAGACAGAAAGCCCAGTAATGGAGTGATTGAGGGATATTTCCAAGAGATAGAAAGCCCAGCAATGGATTGATTGAGGGATATTTCCACGAGAGACAGAAAGCCCATCAATGGATTGATTGGGGGATATTTTCCACGAGAGACAGAAAGCCCAGTAATGAGGAATATTTCCAAGAGATAGAAAGCCCAGTAATGGATTGATTAAGGGATATTTCCAAGAGACAGAAAGCCCAGCAATGGATTGATTTAGGGATATTTCCACGAGAGACATAAAGCCCAGCAATGGATTGATTGAGGGATATTTCCACGAGAGAAGAAAGCCCAGCAATGGATTGATTGAGGATATTTCCAACAGATAGAAAGCCCAGCAATGGATTGATTGAGGGATATTTCCACGAGAGACAGAAAGCCCAGTAATGGATTGATTGAGGGATATTTCCAAGAGATAGAAAGCCCAGCAATGGATTGATTGAGGGATATTTCCAAGAGATAGAGATAGAAAGCACAGTAATGGATTGATTGAGGGGTATTTCCAAGATAGACAGAAAGCCCAGCAATGGATTGACTGAGGGATATTTCCAAGAGAGACAGAAAGGCCAGCAATGGATTGATTAAGGGATATTTCCAAGAGATAGAGATAGAAAGCCCAGCAATGGTTTGATTGAGGGATATTTCCAAGAGGGAGAGACAGAAAGTCCAGTAATGGATTGATTGAGGGGTATTTCCAAGAGAGAGAGACAGAAAGCCCAGCAATGGATTGATTGAGGGATATTTCCACGAGAGACAGAAAGCCCAGCAATGGGCTGATTGAGGGATATTTCCAAGAGATAGAAAGACCAGTAATGGATTGATTGAGGGGTATTTCCAAGAGAGACAGAAAGCCCGGCAATGGGTTGATTGAGGGATATTTCCAAGAAATAGAAAGCCCAGTAATGGATTGATTAAGGGATATTTCCAAGAGATAGAAAGCCCAGCAATGGATTGATTGAGGGGTATTTCCAAAAGACAGAAAGCCCAGCAATGGATTGATTGAGGGGTATTTCCAAGAGTGAGAGATAGAAAGCCCAGCAATGGATTGATTGAGGGATATTTCCAAGAGTGAGAGATAGAAAGCCCAGCAATGGATTGATTGAGGGATATTTCCAAGAGTGAGAGATAGAAAGCCCAGCAATGCATTGGTTGAGGGATATTTGCAAGAGTGGGAGAGAGAGATAGCCCAGCAATGGATTGGTTGAGGAGTATTTCCAAGAGTGAGAGAGAGAGAGAGAGAAAGCCCAGTAACGGATTGATTGAGGGATATTTCCAAGAGTGAGAGATAGAAAGCCTTGCAATGGATTGATTGAGGGGTATTTACAAGAGTGAGAGATAGAGAACCCAGCAATGGATTGATTGACGGGTATTTCCAAGAAAGAGAGACAGAAAGTCCAGTAATGGATTGATTGAGGGGTATTTCCAAGAAAGAGAGACAGAAAGCCCAGCAATGAATTGATTGAGGGGTATTTCCAAAAGTGAGAGATAGAAAGCCCAGCAATGGATTGGTTGAGGGATATTTCCAAGAGTGAGAGATAGAAAGCCCAGAAATGGATTGGTTGAGGGATATTTCCAAGAGTGAGAGATAGAAAGCCCAGCAATGGATTGGTTGAGGGATATTTCCAAGAGTGAGAGAAAGAAAGCCCAGCAATGGATTGATTGAGGGGTATTTCCAAGAGAGAGAGACAGAAAGCCCAGTAATGGATTGATTGAGGGGTATTTCCAAGAGATAGAGACAGAAAGCCCAGCAATGGATTGATTGAGGGGTATTTCCAAGAGTGAGAGATAGAAAGCCCAGCAATGGATTGATTGAGGGGTATTTCCAAGAGAGAGAGACAGAAAGCCCAGTAATGGATTGATTGAGGGATAGTTCCAAGTGATAGAGAGCCCAGTAATGGATTGATTGAGGGATATTTCCAAGCGAGAGAGACAGAAAGCCCAGCAATGGATTGATTGAGGGATATTTCCAAGAGTGAGAGATAGAAAGCCCAGCAATGGATTGATTGAGGGGTATTTCCAAGAGTGAGAGATAGAAAGCCCAGCAATGGATTGGTTGAGGGGTATTTCCAAGAGTGAGAGAGAGATATAGAGAAAGCCCAGCAATGGATTGGTTGAGGGATATTTCCAAGAGTGAGAGTGAGAGAGAGAGAGAGAGAGAGAGAGAGAGAGAAAGTCCAGTAATGGATTGATTGAGGGATATTTCCAAGAGTGAGAGATAGAAAGCCCAGCAATGGATTGATTGAGGGGTATTTACAAGAGTGATAGATAGAGAACCCAGCAATGGATTGATTGAGGGGTATTTCCAAGAGTGAGCGATAGAAAGACCAGCAATGGATTAATTGAGGGATATTTCCAAGAGAGAGAGAGAGAGATCGAAAGCCCAGCAATGGATTGATTGAAGGGTATTTCCAAGAGAGAGAGATAGAAAGCCCAGCAATGGCTTAATTGAGGGATATTTCTAAGAGAGAGAGAGATAGAAAGCCCAGCAATGGATTAATTGAGGGATATTTCCAATAGAGTGGTAGAAAGCCCAGCAATGGATTGAGGGGTATTTCCGATAGTGAAAGATAGAAAGCCTAGCAATGGATTGATCGAAAAGTATTGCAAAAGAGATAGAAAGCCAAGTTATGGACTAACTAGGGTATTCCAAGTGAGATACAGAAAGATTAGGTAAGCTATGGATCGATGAGAAAGCACTATAAGAGCAGTAGAAATTAAAGTTGGATCAGGGGACATTCTAAGAGCGATAGCAAGCCAAACTAAGGTTCGATCAGAGAGCAGTCTAACAGAGATAGAAAGCCAAGCTATGTATCGATCAGTCAGCATTTCAAAAGCGTCTGAAAGCCAATGTTTGGATTAAGCAGGGAGAATTCTCATAGAGAGAGAAATCAAACATAAGGATCGATCAGGGGGCATTCCAAAAGAGTTAGAAAGCCAAACTATCGATCGATCAGGGGGCATTCCAAGAAAGATAGAATGACAAGTGAAGGATAGATCACAGGAATTCCATGTAAAATTGTGAAAGTTTTCAAGTGTCTCTGTCACCTCAAACTTGCCTTACTTCTATTGTTTCCTCCTCCTTCCCCTTTCAGAATCTGTTCTTCTTTTCTGATCTATTTATCTCCAAAATATAAAACAAAGAAGTGACTAGAATGTCTTATGTATTTTTCCTACGCTTGACAATCTTGACAAAGGGTGGTGCTTTCCTTCAGAAATGAAGAACAAATTTTGAAAGAGGAAGAGAAGAGGAAACAATAGGAGAAAGGTAAGTATGACATGACATTGCCATTTTAACTTCTACTTTAGAAATAGTGGAACAAACAGTCAGTCTCTTTAAACCAGGGTTCTCAAAGAACTAGCCCATGGGCCATTTCCAGCTCCCTAAATACTGTATTGAAACCCACTGCTACTTTCCCAGAAAAGAGAGATCTGTCTGCATCCTGGCATACCTTTCTATGTCCTGGATTGTTGGTGGCCAGGGCCATGATCCTACTGTGGTTGAGGACACTAGCTGACTGACTACAACAAAATGGTCTCTTTTGTGTGTATCTATCCGCCATTTCACATTCTTGCGAGCCTAGCTAATGACAAACAAGGTGACATGTGGTGGCCGGAGCCATAAGCCTGAGGCTTACACACCAAAACGATTTGCTGGTAAAGCACAATTCCTCATAAGGGAAATACCTGAGACATGCAGGATATACCGGGCGTCAGAATGATACCTGGGATATGGAGGATACACTGGGGGTGAGAGTGATACCTGGGATATGGAGGATACACCGGGGGTGAGAGCGATACCTGGGATATGGAGGATACACCGGGGGTGAGAGCGATACCTGGGATATGGAGGATATATCGGGGTGAGAGCGATACCTGGGATATGGAGGATATATCGGGGGTGAGAGCGATACCTGGGATATGGAGGATATATCGGGGGTGAGAGCGATACCTGGGATATGGAGGATACACCAGGGGTCAGACAGATACCTGGGATATGGATGATACACCGGGGGTGAGAGCGATACCTGGGATTTGGAGGATACACCGGGGGTGAGAGCGATACCTGGGATATGGAGGATATATCGGGGGTGAGAGCGATACCTGGGATATGGAGGATACACCGGGGGTCAGACAGATACCTTGGATATGGAGGATATATTGGTGGGTGAGAGTGATACCTGGGCTATAGAGCATACACTGGGGGTGAGAGCGATACCTGGCATATGGAGGATACACCGGGGGTGAGAGTGACACCTGGGATATGTAGGATACACCGGGGGTGAGAGTGATATGGAGTATACACTGGGGGGTGAGTGATACCTGGAATATGGAGGATACACTGGGGGTGAGTGATACCTGGAATATGGAGCATACACTGGGGGTGATGGAGATACCTGGAACATGGAGAATACACTGGGGGTGATGGAGATACCAGGAGTGAGAGAGATACCTGGGACTTGAAGGATACACTGGTGGTGGTGGAGAAACCTGGGGCATGTGGGGTACACTGTGGGTGATTGAGATCCTTGGGACATGGAGAATACACTGGGGGTGATGAAGATACCTGGGATGTGGAGCATACATGGGGGGGTGATGGAGATGCCTGGACATGAAGGATACGCTGGGGGTAAGCAAGATACATGGGACATGGAAGATACACAGGGGGTACGACACCTGGGACATGGAGCATGCACAGGAGTAAGACACCTGGGATATGGAGGATACACTGGGGGTGATGGAGATACCTGGGATGTGGAGCATACATGGGGGGTGATGGACATGAAATATACGCTGGGGGTGAGTGAGTGTCAGGATTATATTGATCCAGCACGCAGAATAGTATCACACCCTAGAACAAATGGTAACGTCTAACCGGGCCTTAGAATGGCTGGATTTAATGTACCTGAGAATAGTCAGAAAACTAGCCGAGGTCAAGGACACAGAACGAGACTCAGCAATCAGGAAAAGACAAAATTCAAGGGTACTAGAAATCAGGGAAGTCAAAACGAAGCCAAAGTCAAAAACTAGGGGGGCGGGGCCGGGCCGCCGAGCTGGATGGCAGCCACGAGCTTCAGCTCTGGCCCAAGATACCAAAAAATAGAATTAAAAAAGCGGTCTATAAGCACCCTAAAGGGGACACCCCGGTAATTAAGGGGTGGCACACGCACCCTGCACCAGAACGACACCTGTAAGGGGCCGATCACGCACCGGGAGAGCGGAAAGTAGGCAATCACGGCCGCACATGAAGGGAGCCTGGAAAGACGAAGAGGCCCAACAGGGCAGACGTTAAGAGAGAGACCTGAACCCGACATCAAACAGATAGGCCCTGCCGGCGGCACGTCCCCGCTCCCCCCCCGAGGCCGGTGGGGGTTATCCCGGCCACATGGTGATGACCTCCGCGGCGACAGAGGCCCCCGCGGGTCGATCGCCTACACTGGCAAAGGCTTCCCAGGAACAGCCCGCCAGCAGATAAGGGCAGACGAAATATAAACAAGCACGGAGAGATATACCTACCTTTATGCGGAGGCTTCTGCATGCGGCTCGAGAGACCCAGATGGCTGTCGGCCCACGGACGGACACCCCGGGTGACCTGCTCCCTGGTAACGGTACTGGACCTTGCATCTGGGTTTGTGGGGGGCCCGGAGAAGGATGTCCCTGGCGCAGTGAGCCCTGTGGGGCTAGAGGGCACCAAACCCCTCTGGTATACCGGTGGCCATGAGGGGGGAGGTGCATCGGCCCTAAGTGTGAGGCCTGCACTGGGCGAGACTCGTAGGCCCAGGCGTTATCTGGCGGCGCGAGTGATGCTGGGGAGGTGCAGGGGACAGCGAGTGCTGGGACCTTTGGTGGGGGGTTTCCTGGACTGACCCGGACCCCGAGTGCCCACGGCATCGCGGAGTGCCCCGCGGGGGGGCGAGTCCTAGGGGAGGACAGATGGAGGGCCGGCGCCCTAAAGGACCTCACCGACCCGATATGCGGACAGTTTACCGTATTATAACTCAGCTCCACATGCACGGCTGAGAATCCCAGGACTATTCTTATAAGCAGGCTCACGTGCAAATCCGGACTCTTGAGAAATTCTACAACTATGCTTAGATATGCATAAAGATTCAGGTTCTTAGTTAAAGTCGTTTAATACGAACAAGTTCTTTATTATTACTATATAGTATTACTTAGGGGCTACTAATCTTAATGAGAAAAAAAAAAAAAGGCATCTAGAACCGTATAGACAGATCATCTTATTGCTTAGTTATCCAGTATGCTTTAAAGCTGACTGACGAAAGTTTTCAATGGCGAGCTCACAACAAGAAGCCTGCATACTCTTGCTGATCTTAACCATTACTGCATGCAGGTTTTAGTGCTGCTAATCTCACACAATGTGCTACTAGACTCTAGAACAACGCTAATGTTTCATATGACATGTCAGATACGGTTTCAGTTTCCTAGTTACTAATAGAAATTGCACAAGTTGTAGTGCTTAGAAATGCTAAAATGCCCCTACAGAGGCTAAAGTTCACTGTTAAGTGCATACGCAATAAGCTTTTTACGTCACTGCTTAACTGACATATACTTAGGTAACCCTTCACATCAACATCAGAATGAATAGGCTATTCAGTGTAGTATACCTAAATAAGCAGGCAATCGCACTAAACGATGGATACCAATATGCGTAAATCTAAACATAAAAATATAAAAATAGAAATAACCGAGCTCATTGAGGCACACCTATAGGCTATCAACTCTGATGATTATGCACTCACTTTGTGGCAAGCTCATATTGGGATCAATTAGCTGCTGTCACAATGTCAATAGATAGGAGTTTTCATCGCACTGAGACGCCAGCCTTATATGATACTATAACTATAAATGATAGTACCGCACGCTTGATTGAATGTACTTAAATTTGTGTTCATTCTGACCTATATGCCTCTGCGCAGGCACTCATACACTACATGTACTTCCCTGTACTGTACTATGCCAGTTAATGCTTTTTTTTGTGACACCAATAAATATATTTAAAACAAAGTCAAAAACTAGAAAAACACGATAAGGAACACACATTCGGATAACCATCTAAGGGAAACCACGACAGGGCAATGAGCCAAGGAATAAGTGAGTTTAAATAACACTCTTGCAGATCCGATTGGCTGTACCTAGTCCTTGACCCCAAAATGTGCGTGTGCGTCTTTTGCGTGACATCACCTGCACATCGACGTCTTTATCGTGGACAGACGTGGGGCTATATACTTGCGTGGGTCCGCAGTGGCTGGCGTGCACCGGCATGCTGCACAAGCCAGGCATCAAGGCAGAAGACCGCCGAGAGGCACTCCCCTCGATCTTCGGTAGATAATTATCTCAGTTTTTTTCACATGGATACGAAGGATACGTGACAGCGAGATACCTGGGACATGGAGGATAACCTGGGGTTTATGAAGATACCTGGGGGTGAGAGAGTTACCTGGGACTTGGAGGATACACAGGGAGTAAAACACCTGGGATATGAAGGATACACTGGGGGGTGATGGACATACCTGCGTGTGAGAGAGATACCTGGGACTTGGTGGGTACACTGGTGGTGAGGGAGATACTGGGACATAAAGGATACTCGGGGAGGGGGGGGACATGGGAGATACACTAGAAGTGAGGGAGATACCTGAGAAAAAGGTGATGACGGAGATACCTGTGTGTAAGGAAGTGTGTAACAGTGTGAGTATGCGACAGTTTTGCTGTGTGTACTGAAGTGTGTAGTTGTGTAAAGGAGTGTGTAGCTGTATGTAATTAGTATTTACTGTCCTATTCTAAGAACATTTAATAGTAATCAACTGTGTACTTAAGGGTACTCTTAAGAATGCAGGGGCATTAAAAAAACACAAAAACAGCAATTTTACCAATTTTTTTTTTATTAAATCTTAGATGTGACAGAATACAACAGCCTGAGAATAAACTACATATCTGAGAAGTAAATGTATCAAGTAATTTTTCTTTTAGGGGGAATGGTAGTCTGGTCTGTACTGGGCCTGGGGAACTGTGTCATCTGCCTCCATATTGCCCTATGGAAGCTAGGTGTCTCTACGGAGCTTCTGCTGTTCATACTTGCTGAACCAATTGATGTAGGCTTTAAGGCATCAATTCCTTTTTGAATTATGCTTCCTAAGGTCGCCAGTCCATCAGTTTGCTGGATCTGCAAGAGATTTAAGGAGTAGGCAATCTGAGACAAGATAGAATTCTGCTCCTGCATTAAAATGTTGGACTCACGCTGGTGGGAAGAGATTGTCTGCAGAGTGCTTGACTGTCTGCAAAGAGTTACATTAATCGAAGAAAACTGTTTATCCTGCATTTTGAGGAGCAGTTGGTGAGAGAACAAACTGTTGGGTTTGAGACTCTCCTCCCATAAATCTTCTACATTTCCTTCTGAAGATTCTTCCTTGTGCTCATCACTCTGAAGATTAGTCTTTGCTACACCATCTTGTTCTTCCAGCTGGTCAGATATTTGAATCTCAGGACCAGGTGAAGGAGGAGCTGGTTCTTCTGAAGACTTGTTGCCAGATTCACATTCTGTGTCCAGGGGTGTTGGTGAATCAGGGACATTTTTTACAGATTCTGCTACTTCTAGAGGACCTTAAAAAAAGAAGAAACATTTATTCAGCATAGTTAGGAAATTCAGCACAGATTTATACAAAATGCAGGAAGTAGGCAAGGTGTACAAAGACTGGCCTTACACTAGCATGGGCAGGAAGAGAGATATGTACAGTGAGAAGAAGGCATGTTTTAAATAAAGAATGTTAGGATTATATTATGGGTATGCTATTATGTAATTTTATCTGCAAAACCAATTGTCTCCGCAGTACCTAAAGCTTAATTAATGGAACCTGACAAAATGAAAGACATGTCATTATGTTAATGCTGACACAAGGTTTGTCTTGCCTATCTCGGTGGGGGAAGACAGAAAGGTGATATCTTGTATGAGACTTGTTCTGTGTAGTCTATTATCCAGATCTGCCAATTTTAAGTTTCGGCCGGGTACAATGCAAGATCGGATAATTTTATCTGTGATAGAGTAGAGCATTAATTAGTCTTTGTCTCTCATAGATGGGTGCCATGGAAGACTGTGGAAATGTAGCCAGTGATTCAATTTGATTCAATATTCTGTGGCCTCTCATAAGTTGAGAATTCAGAACAATCTAGACATTACTACAGTTTTCTGAGCTTTTACAGAAAAGATTAAATGGAAACGAAGACACTGGGACTTGCATAAACTATCTTCTACAGCTCGATCACTGAGCTGTTATGTAGATGGTTCTTTACAATGTTCACAGAAACACAGATCATAAACACACAAAACGTCTGGCTTGATTTAATATTGTAGAATAAGCTTTTTAAATGATTTAGTATATTTAGATAAACTTACAAAATGGTTTATTTTTCAACATACAAAATACCCAAAAATATATCAATACATCAAAAATACCAAAATCTAAATATTTCTTATAACATTAGATCATTTATGGATACAAAAAGTGTATCCATAAATATTAAACCATTTGGAACGCTTATTAACAGTATTAAATCAAGGTCTTGTGTGTTTCCATCAGTAAACTCCATGTGGACAACATGGAACAATCCTATCACATGAATATTTACAGCTGGTATCTCAGGGGAACAAAGATAAGTGAATGAGGCAACAACAGAAAGTAAGGACTTCTGTAGATGTTGATAAGGAACGGTCATATTTTTAGGTTTAGAGCGTGTGTAACATTCAATAAACAAAGGGACTGGGTTACTCTGCTTGACAATGTTAGCTAGACATATTGTTCACGAAGTAGAACAGACTACCAAAAATTCATTTTCTACAATAAAGCCATCTACGCTCCTGTACATAAAGCTCCATAATTATAATTAAAGGGACACTATATATCTTACTGTATTCAAGCCAGAAGCTGTAAATCTGCATGCTGTTAGACTCAGGAAAAACAAGCAGTCTGCTGACATGTGATAGCCTGATCCAATCACAGTGCTTCCCCATAGGATTGGCTGAGACTGACAAGGAGGCAGATCAGGGGCAGAGCCAGCATGAGTCAAACACAGCCCTGGCCAATCAGCATCTCCTCATAGAGATGAATTGAATCAATGAATCTCTATGAGGAAAGTTCAGTGTCTGCATGCAGAGGGAGGAGATACTGAATCACATGATGCTGTGCACAGTGCTGCCCTGTGCTCTGCTGACAGCAGATCTGAGTGGATAAAGGCATATTATGCCTCCACCAACTTAGAAGTCCCTCTGGTTCACTCTGAGTGACTGCAACTGGAGGTGTTCCTAGCTTTCAATGTAAACACTGTATTTTCTTAGAAAATTCAGTGTTTACATGAGAAAGGCTGCAGGGAGCTATAGTTCTCATCTGAACAACCTCATTAAGCTGAAGTTGTTCAGGTGACTATAGTGTCTCTAACAAAAAAGTGAAGATTGGAAAGGGCAGAGGAGGATGAAAGAGAAGTATGATAATGGACTTAAAGAGTCTGCTAGGTGAAGATGTCAAGCTTACTGTTAAGAAGACTCAGCATTGTGGGTATTACTAAGTGTGCCCAATATGGGGTACAGAATATGCCACTTCTTAGCATGAAATACAAAATAAGAAGAAAATGGAGAAACAAACCGGAATCTGGAAATTAGGAAAAAAAACAGACCATTGTAAGGATAAAAATATATATTTCCACATTTATGGGGATAATACTGTATTAACCAATCCCCATTAATAACAATGGATGTTTCAGGTGAAATAATGAGAAGGAGATTATTTACCAGATTCCTCCTCCGGCAGATTAGCTTCATTTCTGACCCATTGTATTATCTTGCTAAATTCCGGCATGAAGAAATCCCTCAGTCTCTGCTCATATGACGTTAGCCTCAAGTAAGGCGGGGGTCGGCGCCCGGTCTCAGCTTCGTGCTGTGCTGCCTCCTTCACCTTTCTTTTCATCACAAGTTTAGCATTCATCCAACGCTTCCTTACTTTTTCAGTGGTGCGGAAATCGACCCCAAGAGCATTTATTTCATCAGCTATGGCTTGCCAAATGGCATCCTTGGCAGCAACTGTGGTTGTGGCAGACTCTTTGCCAAACAGCTTAGGGTAGTTTTCCATCACCATATTCACAAGGACTTCTAGTTCTCTATCCGTGTACTTGCGCACACGGTGAGCTCCATGGGATGGATAAGGTTTAGGATGGCATTCGGGAACATAAGGAATGTCACTTTCTCTGGGTGGCAACATTGTTCCAGTGTCGCTGACTTGTGAAGGGGCATCTGCTGTATCTGGCATATTGGTACAGAACAAAGAGTTTAGACATACCTGCCATTCATTGTTTGAGCAGCCAGGAAGTCACTGAGCCAATAAAGTGCTATCAATGTCTAAACTGTTAAGCTATTTGATGCAAACCTTCCTGGCTGCTTAAAAATTATTTGCCTCCAAAACCAAACTTGCATTTATTCAGCTTTGAGTACAACTACTTCAAAATAATGCTTGCATTTGGAATTGGGTAATTAAATACCATGTTGCCAGTAAAGGAGCAAGTTGAGCCCCCTTTGCCGTGCCACTAACCAATGTTTTCAAGCAAGGTTCTGCACATCTCCTTATCAATAGTTCAATGAATCTTACGAATATGTTACCATATTACAAATCAACATTTATACTCCTCAGTTTCTCATTTACATTCGTTCTTTTTTCCCTTTAATTTTATTATAAAATGATATATTTTTATTGTAAATACATTTTTTTAATTCTTCCAGAAATATATAAAAGGTACACTTAAAAAGGAAATATGGGACAAGTTTAAATATTTTATGTCTTGTCCAACACTACTCAAACCTGTCAACATCATCTGCAACATTTCAACAATTCTTGATTACACTGGAATGCATTATCATTTAATCTACCAATAAGGTTGTTTTCAAACAAATCAGAGACAAAGGAACTATTCCTTGCAGGCACATGTTCTTTGTACTATTGGGCAATAAAAATTAACCTTTTCAATGCATTAGACATGTTTATTTAGTTTTTTGTCTTTTATTTTATTTAGTGTAACTACATTGTTTTTTGCACTAGGGTTAGTGATCACTCCAGATATCTTGGAGGCAATGGTGGTCTGACAAGGAGTCTTTAAATTAGTAGATGATTAGAGTGTAAAGTGGTTCCTAATATATTGTAAAAACAATTCCCATTATGTATTAAGATCAACATAACAGCATGGTAGCTGTGTTACTCCAAAATCAGTAGCTCTACCTTTTGGGTTTTGGTTAAAAGGAGATTGTGAAGTTTTGATATCTCCAACAAACTGTGTGTTTTAAAGGAATGTTTCCTGCATTATATAATGTAAGGCAGCATTTAAGCAAGCTTTATATGTTTAAGAGATGATGTCTTCTAGGTAAGTTTTGGGGGTTTATTATCTAACCACAAAAGTGTGTTTTGTATAACAAGCTAGAGACACACGTCTTCCCTTAACGGAAGAAAATGCTTGGTTGTATGTAACGTCTCAGATGCAGAATATTCACAAAGTATCATGGGACTTAGATCAACATCGACATGAAACAATAGGGTCTAAATGAGAGAACTTGTGGTATTGTCAACTCTATCATATGCATGATCCTTGATGTTATATCTCACTTGTATTGCCCATTTAATGTTGTCCTCTTGTTGTGGTAGTTTTTATTCTTTTAAATATAGTCTCCTCCTTTACTGTGTTGATTCCGTTTATGTATTTAAATGTTTATCATAGCCCCCCTGTCTCGTATTTCCTCCACGCTATACATTCCTTTAACCTTCCTTTAATTCTGTAAATATGACCTGAAGACTTTCAGATATAACAAAGACACTAGCATTGCTGATAAGATAGTTCTTTAAACACCAAATCCATCAGGTTCTCCTTATGAAAGGTTTAGAGATCTGTGATTTGTTTGATATCTAACGAGTCCGCCTAATGCTCTTGGACTTCATTTCAGAACGATCTTGCCTTCTTCCCGGACTAAACACTCCGGTAAATTACTTTCAGAAATATTATCAGTAAGTGACGCATGTGTTTGGCTCTATCTTCCAGGCTTGTGCAGTCTCCTGAGATAATGACTTTAATTTACAGTAGAATGTTAACATACAATCAATATTACATGAAAAAATTTGAAAAAGAGACTTCCACAGCTGGATTGACTGAATTCCACATGTTTTATGTAACTTTTAACGAAATTCCAGACAACTGCTTGCATTTTGGGGTGTGACAGACATGAGCGCCCAGCAGTAAACTCCAAATTGGGGGAGGAGGGAGAGATTAGAACACCTTTTATAGATCTAACTTGGTATGCTTTTGAGACAAATTTATGGACCATTTATTTACCTTTAAATACAGTGGTCCACTATGCACAATTATGTTTATTTATTTTGTGTTAAATAAGATATTCACTAGAAAATAAAATATCAATGCTACAAAAGAAAAATTATGTTGATTTTTCATTCTTTAATTGTATAATGTTGTTAAAAAGCTCTATATGGTTAATAATTTATTAGGGATTTAAAGGGGTTAAAGAAATATATTGTCCGTGAAGGAATGCACCGGAAAGTGATGATTAACACTGTGTGGACCAGTAAGATTGAATGAAGAACCTGCACAATCCTCCATGATATGAGATGTGATGCTGCATATACAAATAAGAAGCTGAAGAATCCCACAAGCTTTGACGATGATAAGAAAAATAGGAGACAGATGTTGTTCTATACCTCCCCAGTTGATGATGCAGCCAGAACGTTGGAATACGTTGGAGCAACCAACAACTTACAAGAGAACTAGCAGAAATGTCAAATGCTGGGTATTAGTAGTTTCCCTACTGGTGGCATCCACAGTCAGAATGAATAAATAATCACAACAGATTAACAGCTCAATATATTAACACCCTATAGTATAAAGTGATGCTGGGAACAATGGGAAAACATAGACATTTTAATTACTGTAAATTCTATTTTCTTACTCTGGACGGGTAGTGAATTAACCTATAGTATATCTTCTGTCCACACATCCCCTATCTCAGTAATACACAAGTACAATGAAAAAAATATAAAGTGTAATAGAGTGGAAAAACAGAGTACTACCACGAATACGAAGGAATGAGCTTTTAGGCACTCAGGAGGCTTCCTCCGCTTCCCTAAAGATAAATATTCCAGCTGAACAGCTTTGGTCAACCACATTGTCAATGTTTCTTTAGATGCAAGATTTTCTTTAAAAAGTATGAAATTTTGTGATTTCCCTTAAAAACACACAAAAGATTGTATGTCTAGCAAAATTTAGCTTTGGGCTTGGCACAACTTTACCCTTGTGAAAACCAGAATAAGGTGGAGGTGCAGATAGGACCCGTATCTTTTCAAGTCTTTTAAGCAGTCAAAAAAAATGGTTTAGAAACAAGGTTTTCAATAAAGTCCAATAAAGTGTTTAAATCTCACAAACAAATCAGATTTTTTTTTTCAGTTCTAGAAGGGTGAATCTATGATAGTTTAAAAAAATAAAGAAACATTTGAGGCTACATGTTTAAAGGGACACTATAGTCACCTGAACAACTTTAGCTTAATGAAGCAGTTTTGGTGTATAGAACATGCCCCTGCAGCCTCACTGCTCAATCCTCTGCCATTTAGGAGTTAAATCCCTTTGTTTATGAACCCTAGTCACACCTCCCTGCATGTGACTTGCACAGCCTTCCATAAACACTTCCTGTAAAGAGCCCTATTTAGGCTTTCTTTATTGCAAGTTCTGTTTAATTAAGATTTTCTTATCCCCTGCTATGTTAATAGCTTGCTAGACCCTGCAAGAGCCTCCTGTATGTGATTAAAGTTCAATTTAGAGATTGAGATACAATTATTTAAGGTAAATTACATCTGTTTGAAAGTGAAACCAGTTTTTTTTTCATGCAGGCTCTGTCAATCATAGCCAGGGGAGGTGTGGCTAGGGCCGCATAAACAGAAACAAAGTGTTTTAACTCCTAAATGGCAGTGATTTGAGCAATAAAACCTGAGAGGCATGATCTATACTGCTTTATTTAGCTAAAGTAAGTTAGGTGACTATAGTGTTCCTTTAAGGAGAGTCTTACTCAGAATTCAAGCAAGTACCCGAAGAGCTGATAAAGTCCTGAAGGAGCATTCGGATTAACACCCTGCTTGATGAACCATCCACAAATCGTCTTCCAGATGGTATATGTTGAAAGTCTATTTAAAATGAATTTCTATTACTTCTTCATCCAGTCCTTGGGCTTGTAGCATCAGCCTTTCCACAACTATGCTGTCAATTTGAATGTTCTCAAGAGCACTTCTGATTTGACTGGGTCTGCAGTTTCTCCTCTTAAAATGCAAGTTTCAAAACTTCTTGTTTCATAGAAGTAGTACTGAGAACCAACACTTTCTGGGCCAAAACAGGATTACCCGTCTGATCTTATATTCTGTAGCACACGTGGGATAATCACTATAGGAGATATATATATGTAGGAAAATGCCACAGGATTCAGACCGTACAAAATATCTAGAAAGACTCCTTTGCGCAGGAAACAAATATTGGTACTTTTGGATTCTTTTCTGATGGACTACATTATTGTTATTATTGAGAATATGTAGTCATTTATTTCCCACCCTGCTTAGATCATCTACCAAAATATTGTCCTCTTCTTTGATATGGGATGTTGACAAAGCCATGACCGGTCTTTTTTGCGCAGGACAATTTCTGAACAAAAAAGAGCAAGCAACTGAACTCTGGTGCTTCTCTGCTTATTTAGAGATGCTACTACTAGCTTGTTGTCCAGTTGAATTAGCATAGGTTTTCCTAGAAATCCAAGGAAGTTTTAATGGCTTGTGATTTGAAGAAGGTTAATGTTCTTCCACTGAACATGTTCCATTAATAATCCTGGTCTCCAAATGAGCATCACAACCTGTACTTGATGCATCCCTTGTTAGAGTTACCCAACTGATGCGAAAGACTCATAACATAGCTAGTATCCATCCATCGTCTTGTCCAGATCTGTCCCAGATTAGCAGAATTTATTGTTGTAAAGATCTCATCCTTCCCTTTGCCCATTGGACAGCTTTGGAATATATTTAATATATTTTGTAACTTGGAGCCTATGAACAATCATAGCACACTTATTCGCTGTGTTGGAGATAGATTAGATTTTTTTCCAGCTTAGGATCCATCCACGTGGAAACGATGTCCTAATGAAGTTGAGATTCTGAATGTGTGGAGCAAACAGTCTAGGTAAGGAATAGCAGGTATGATTCAGATGAAACTTTATTATCACTGTACAGAGTACGTACAAGGACAATGAAACACAGTCGGCCTCTGTTCAGAAATACAGTAGTAATTAATAAAATGTACTATATAAAAAAATGTACTCAGTGTACCATTTTCCCTTGAGGATACCGAAAGAAACCCTACAACTTTGTTAAATATTCTCTGGATTGATGAGAGTCTGTAAGGAAGTTTTTCCCTCCAATAGATATGTGAACACATGCGTCTTTATGTCTAGTGATGTCATATAGTCATTGATTGCATTGTACAATATATTATGGCTTCCATTTAAAATCTTTTTCTTTGAATGTATCGGTTCACAACAGGCTCAAATTCTCTCTTGGTTAATTTTGTTTTGGGGGGGGAGGTGGGGGGCAGAAGTGGTTGATGATGATATTTCAAATCTCCTTCATAGAAAAGGTGAAACTCTACAAGAAGACTACACCTTATAATGTCTGACACCTGTTCTGTCTCTTTTGCAGTTATCTGTGTTTGAAATTGCTTCTCTCAAATTGTAAGAGTGTCTTGATTTTCTGTGTGTGGCAGTGCTTTCTTTGAGACATCCATTTAATCAGTTCATCCAGTGCTAAACTGAAGGGCCGACCCTTCTCCAAAGGTAATTCACAGAGCAATTCCTAGACGCCATGTTTGCTGACCACTACTGCAACCTGAGGTAAACCCCATATGTTTTGCCAGAGATGCACACATTAATTCAATTGTCAGTTTCATGTGGCATAAAAGATAAGATGTTTAGCTGATTCTCCAGATATACTGTACCCTTATCACTGACGTCCCTGAAATTAAAGCTCAGCTCTCAGTGCCTAAATAAAGATGTCTGCAAGGTGTCTCAGATCTTATATCCATTGCGACCCTCGTAGGGATCGTGGTCTTCTGGGATAATTATGGAATCAGAACAACTCATTTAGAAACCAGAGAGAGATGAACATCCATCTTTCCAGGTTATCTCACTCTCTTTTTATCAAACGAAAAACATTTTGAGTGAAATTGGCAACCCTTGTAATTCTTGGATTTTTCCTGGCTTTGAGTCTTCTCCATTACTTCTTTAAAACATTGACAGTCTCGTCATGGGTGCAGATTGTCTCTTTCTTGTCTGACTAATCTAGCGGTGAAGAGACTTTCCGAGAGTATAAACCAGAGTCCGATGACAACCTTTCCATCTTCCTGGCCATTCTAGAGCTGGGTAACACATGCAGCTGCCCTTACTTTAATAAAGGTTTATTGTACATTTTGTTGGAACCGTCATTAAAAATCTCTCTTATTGGTTTGTTTGTTGTAGAGCATAGTTGCAAGTCAAGAAGACCAATATTTGAACTTTGAAACTGCGATTTCTCAACTAGGCTTATCTGGGGAAGCTAAACGTCTTGTAAAGCCTCTTCGTGTGTGAGAGCAGGTAGGCCACACTGTTGCAATGCAGACCGGCACGGAAAGGATATAGGCACTTGTAGCCCTTATTTGAATATTAAATACAATAAAACAGTGTGTAATTACAGAGGAATACATGTGATCCACAAGGCTGTGATTGGACTAAAGCTTAACTTTCAAAGTGGCTGCTGCCAGGTTGGCACTACTTCCGATATTACATGGAACACAAGTTTGACATTCATTCCGCCAACGAGAGTATATAAACGCCACCTGAGTCATCCAATTAATGTCCTGACAAGTACCCCAGCAAATATCTGCCGCCCTGGGGAGGAAAATGATAACGGCATTCGCGGGTACCCACTTGCACTTTTTCTGCCAGCCTTGGCTACCTAATTGTCTTGCACAACATAGGACAGACAAAAGCTGAAATAGTAGGTGGGTGCGAGGAGTGAAATTATTCTAGAGGTTAATTGGGGAGGGACCCAATTTGTAAATTCTAGGTCCACATTTTGTTACTTGTCCAGACTGGCCGATACGCAGGAGTGAGTATTGATGCTATACATGGGGAAAACCAATATCTCACAAGTAAAGCACTTTTTACACCTTGGATTACGTGCAACTATTCCCATGAGACCCGTTAGGTATTTGCATGTTTTTTTTTTTTTTCTGCCACTGTTTGTGGTATTTCGTCTAGGCTTTTATCTGAATTGTTTTGGTGATCAATAATAGAAGGTTTGAGAGCTTTCGTTGTACATCTAGACTATTTATTCGTGAAACCAATTACCTGTTTACTGATTAATAGAGTGTCTTATTTACACTGTAGATGTGTAGTGCTAAAAGAGTGAGGAGGAAACAACGACAAATGATGGAAGAAGAGAAAAATGGTGTCTGCTAGAGAAAAAACGATTCACACACTCTGTGTAATGAGGAGATATGCAGAGCCATCTGGAAAACATACCTTTCAGAGAAATAATCGTTTTTGGACCTTGGAAAACCAACACACAGATTGAAAATTAAACCATAATGAGAAAAAATGGTTAACAATGCATTTGTCTTATTTTACCCGATGAGCATTCTATGGTACAGTCCACGGTGCAGAGACAGTTTACCTAAAGTACCCACAACTCCTGAATGGTATCACATGGAAACATAGAATGTGATGGCAGATAAGAACCATTCGGCCCATCTAACCTGCCTGATTTTCACGTCCAGTTTTGCCAATTTTCGGGGGAATTCTTTTAGCATTCTGTGTGGTAACATGCTCTCCAGTGTATACAGTAGTCATTTGCTCCTGACGTGAAATCAATGAATATATTAAGGCTGGAGTCCCACTGCATTGCCACAATGAAATGATTTAACAAATTCTCCCTGAGCACACTTTAAAGCCCTCCTAGACAGAATGTGGAATTCATCAACATCCCCACAACTTGCCTTTTTATGTGGCGCTGTACACAGGTTATTGTGCAATGCAGCCTGATGTACCAAGCTGTTTACGCGACGCTCTAAGCCAGCGGTTCCCAACCCGTGATACGCGTACCCACGGCACTCTGAGATTACTAGCTGTGCGTGCCGGAACTTTAGTGTCTTACCTGCCGGTGTTAATTTTTGCGGCAAATTTTTATTCATTTATTTATTTTTACTAAAAAGCCATTTTAGTTTTATTTATATTTTAGTCATCTGAGTTGTTTTAGTTTTAGTCTGGTTTTAATCGACCAAATCTCAAAAATTGTAGTCGATTAACATTTGACTAAAATGGTTAATTAACAAAATTAACACTGATGCACACAGTGTGCTGGACATAGGAATTCCAATCCCAGCACACACAGACACACTGCATCCCCCGCACGCGCAGACACACTGCATCCCCCGCACGAGCACACACAGACACACTGCATCCCCCGCACGAGCACACACAGACACACTGCATCCCCCGCAGGCGCACACACAGACACATTGCATCCCCCGCAGGCGCGCACAAAGACACACTGCATCCCCCGCAGGCGCTCACACAGACACACTGCATCCCCCGCAGGCACACACACAGACACACTGCATCCCCCGCAGGCGCACACACAGACACAGACACACTGCATTCCCCACAGGCGCACACATAGACACACTGCATCTCTCACACGGGCGCACACAGACACACTGCATCCCCCGCAGGCGCGCACACAGACACACTGCATCCCCCGCAGGTGCACACACAGACACACTGCATCCCCCGCAGGCACACACATAGACACACTGCATCCCCCGCAGGCGCCCACACAGACACACTGCATCCCCGCAGGCGCACACACAGACACACTGCATCCCCCACAGGCGCACACACAGACACACTGCATTGCACAGACACACTGCATCCCTTGCGCGCGCGCACACTGCATCCCCCGCACACACACTGCATCCTTTCCGTGCGTCAACCACATCCCTAGCACACACACACATTACATCTCCCATCACAAACACAGACACAGAACACAAACTAGAGCCCCAGCACACACACACACACACACACACACACTGCATCCCCAGCGCGCACACACCACTACTTCTCTAGACTAATGGCATACATTCCACATGACAACTTAACTTACTCTTTTTTGGTTGTTATTGTAAGTGATTGACGTATATTGTACTTTGCTAATATTTTATTACCACTGCAGAAGCAAATATGTTGTGACGTTTAATTTAGTGTGCAATTATCTAAATATGTTCTAGAATGTATTTATCTAATCATGATATATTTCATTTTGGTTTTAATTATCATAATACAACATAATAAATGTGGGCGTGTTTTGGTGGCGTTGTTTTGGGGGACTCAGGCAGAAAAATGTCTTGGGCCGGCCCTGGTATCTGTGTATGTCATTGTATGTGTGTGCATATGAGTGTGTATATCTGTGTCAGTTTATCTGCATGTGTGTCAGTATGTGTCTATCTACATGTGTATCTGTATCTGTATGTGTGTCAATTATTGTATCTGTGTGTCTATGTATCTGCATATGTGGCAGTGTGTGTCTGTACATGTGTATCTGCGTGTCTGTATCTGTATGTATATGTGTGGCAGTGTTTGTATCTGTGTATCTGGCAATGCGTTTATCAGCATGTCTGTTTAACGGTATGTATATTAGTGTTGCCATCTGTTTGTCTGCATGTGTGGCAGTGTTTGTACCTGTGTGTCTTTACATTGTGTTAGTGTGTGTAAACGTATGTCCTTGCAACTATATGTATGTCAGTGTGTGTATCTGCATGTATGCCAGTATGTGCATCAGTGTGTCTGTGCAACTGTATGTGCGTCAGTGTTTTTGCCTGTCTGTACATCATGTGTCAGTCTGTGTGTCTGTATGTGTGTGTGTCAGTGTTTTCTCTGTGGGTATGTGCATGTGTGTCATTGTGTCTGTGCAACTGTATGTGTGTCTCTTCATTTGCATGTGTATCTATTTGCATGTGTTTCTCAGTGCTTGTGTCAGTTTGTGTATCTGTAGGAGTGTGTCATTGTTTGTATCTGTACATCTGTATGTATGTCAGTGTTTGTATCTGTATGTGTGTCAGTCTGTGTGTTTGTGTATCCACGTGTGTATCTGTACAGTGAGGAGCCTGGAACAGAGAAAAACATATAGATTTGAAATAACTGCAACTATAATATTTACAAATATTTCGTTAATATAAGGAGTACTATTTATGGAAATGTGCTGCCAAGGGGTACCCTAGTGAAAAAAGGTTGTGAACCGATGCACTAAGCTGTCTACGCGCTCATTCTGTCACCCGGTTGTTTTAGTTGTGTGGACGGGATGTGAAATATTGGACCAGATGTTAACCAAACAACCGCAAATGTCTATCAAGCCTAAGTGGGCATGTCACTGTGATGCTCCACCCCTATCTATGTGAGTCAGCAATAGTTTTTTCAGTTTTCTGTCAGGGTCCCGGTTTTCCCAGGTGGGTTAACCAAGGTTTCCACATCTGTTCTGTTTTTTTTGCTGACACGTGGGAATCTGCGGAGAGCATTTCATATCTATAGTACTGGAAGATCATGTCAGACAGTTCTTTGTTTGAGGGCCAGTAGGTAGTTTTCCAGTGTCTAGCTAGAAGGTTTCTTGCTGCTAAAATGATAATTGAAATTGCTTTCTTCGCCTGTTTTTTCCACATATTTGGGAATAGCAACAGAAGGCCCTCTTGTGGGATGAGAATGACCAATCTTTTTAATTACATACGGTCTTCTGGCAAAATCCCTCAGGAAATGCTGGAAGCTCATGTCGTGATCCTTCCAAAACCTAATAAACCTCAATTTTTATGTGCATGGTTATGTCTGATTGAACAGAATACAGTCTCTTAATAAGCACGATTTATAGCTCACACATAATGCATGTCCAATCCCTTTTTCTGATATTCACATCCCTACTGTAACCTCCATCTAACACGGCTGAAAGGCAAACAGGAATCATGGAGAGAGGAAACCTGTCTTGCCGTATGCCCAGCAATGTTACTGCAGACAAACTGTATATTGTGCACAGTGAGCCGAACGGTCAATGCCAGTATACACCACTATGCCATCTGCAATGATGGACAACTAAAGCGTGCAGCCATTTGTTCTATCCCAGACCTGTGATTAGAACCAGATCTCTATTCGCTATGTTAAACTAGTTACTGAGGACACACGAGTGTATAACTCAAAGCCAGCCTCTCTATAAACGCGAACAGAGTCCGTAAAGCAGATAAGAATTCTGGGTAATGACATACTAGAGAGCAAAATCCCAGTAGAGTGTGAGATGCTGCTTGTTACACAACACCTTGTAAACAGAACATTACATCCAGTACGCAACCACAAAAATATTCAGTATGCAGCCACGAAAACACAAGGATATGTTCAGTACACAGCCAGGAAAACATCTAGTACACAGCCACGAAAACACAAGAATGTGTCCAGTACACAGCCACGAAAACACAAGAATGTGCCCCCATACACAGCCACGAAAACACAAGAATGTGCCCCATACACAGCCACGAAAACACAAGAATGTGTCCAATACACAGCCACGAAAACACAAGAATGTGTCCAATACACAGCCACGGAAACACAAGAATGTGTCCAGTACACAGCCACGAAAACACAAGAACATGTCCAATACACAGCCACGAAAACACAAGAATGTGTCCAGTACACAGCCACGGAAACACAAGAATGTGTCCAATACACAGCAACGAAAACCACACAATGCCACGGAAACACAAGAATGTGTCCAGTACACAATGCCACGGAAATATAAAGAGATTTCCAATAGACAGAGCAGTGGGACACTAAGCATTTTAACCACTGCAGAAAGGATAGGCAATGGAGGAAATGGAGTCCTTTTAAGTTTGCCCTGGAAAAGTCACTGCCACAAGGATGTGTCCAGTATACAGCCACGGAAACACAAGGATGTTTGTGTTTCAGCCAATCACATTGTCTCTACACAGCCACAAAGGAACCTCAGTGCTGTTTGGAAGCAGTTTATCTGATACCTACAGGCATCCTGGGGATTAGGCAACTCCAAACCTTCAGAATAGGCAAGTAGGTCTGCACCCTTAAGCCCACCCTGCCCTTTGTAAGTGGCGCAGACAGTTATTGTGACAGTGTGTGGTGGGTATTTTGGGAGTGCACAGGAGTCAGGACTCCTCAGAGCTGTGTTTGCTGCTGTCCAAGCTCGGAGTTCACACAATGAGAAGTTTGCTGTGGCTAATAAAGTATAAACCTGTCTAGTAGTATGACTTTTTAGCCCTGATAAATTGCAGTATAGTGATAGCTTATTGCAGTGGTTATGGTGCGGTTTTTCAGTTTGACAAAGATCAGGTCTCTCCCCCACCCAAACATCCTTTGCAAACACTGAGAAAATGTGTGTTCGCTCATTATTTAGCCACGTTTGCAATGCCAAGCTATGAGCATTGGATGATGTGAAAGTTTTTAGCCTCTGGGGACCAAAGGACAATAAGTTTTAGTCAAATTGCTCATAAAAGGCTTAGCAACCAGTGTTATTGCCTTAAATGATTGGAATTCTGTACACTGTACCACTGTACCACTGTGTTATGCCATTTCTCAACCAAAAATAAAGAACTGGAAAAAACATTTTTTTGCAACAAGAGGGACAGCACAGACATACTTCTTCACCACAACCACAACAGTATGTTGCAGTGGTTATGGTTCTTAGAATGTTTCTTTAAGAATTCTTTATGACCATACTACTATTATTTACACAACACCAATGTATTCCGCAGCACTGCGCACACCAACCGGCATGGTTAGAACGTTTTCCAAGCACCATGTCTGCGATGCTACAGTGGGCATGCTCCTGGGTCTCCTCACCTCGCGGACTGACTACGGTACTGTCCTGAGTGGAGCCTCCTACAGACACCTTCACATATTCCACCTCCTCCTGTTTGATTGGGTGGGATGAGAATCGCTCTAAAATGACAAATATACAACTGACTTAAACCGACATTCAAAGCTCCAGCCTAGAATTATTACACATGGCCTCTCTTTACTAACTCCCCCAGAATGTAAACTGAACAGAAATTAATCAAACACAAACCAGCATAACAGGACATTAACGCCAACTATTCACATTCGCTCTGACTGCTGCCTGCAGAACAGTCACTCTCCCTTTCTTTACCAAGATATTTTAAGAAGAAGAATAATGATATATTATTTGTATTAATTTATAATGTGATGATGTGTATACAATGAATTCAGGAAGAAGTCACATGTGACTGAAGTCTACCTGTGGTAAAATTAACAGGCTGGACACACATCTGTCTATTTAAAGTCTCTCAGCTGTAAATGCAGATCAGAACAAAGACCAAACCGCGAGGTCTTTGGAACTGCCTGCTGAACTCAGAGACGGGATGGTGTTGGGGCACAGATCTGGGGAAGGCTACAAAAATATTTGGCTGCATTGAAGATCCCCAAGTGCACAGAAGGACAGAAGGTCCGTGGTAAGAGGTGAACAAAATCTGATGGTCTCTCTGGATGATCTCCAGAGATCATGTGTGGAAATGGGAGAAACTTGTGGAAGGTCAACTATCACTGCAACACTCCACCGATCTGTCCTTTATGACAGACTGTCCAGACAGAAGTCTCTCCTCACTGCAAAACATACGAAGGACAACTTTTTTTTTGCAAAAAAGCACATAAAGGACTCTCAGATTGTGAGAAACAAGATTCTCTAATCTGTTGAAATGAATGGTTTGGCCTCAAATCAAAGCAACATGTCTGGTGGAAACCAGGGACTGCTCATCTCCTGTGAAAAAACAATCCACTGGTGAAATGTTCAATGGTAGCATGATGTTTTGGGTGTTTTTATTTAAACTTTTAATTCTGAATATAATGAGACTTTCAAAAATAGGCACAAGCAGCCTTGATTTTTCAAAGATCTCTACAGCAAACAGACTTACTGTAGAGGAGCCTGCTAGGGTCTCCTTACCTCGGGGGTTGTCCGCCATGCTGTCCTGAGTAGAGCTTCCCACAGACACCTTCACATAGTCCACCTCCTCCTGTTTGACTGGCTTACATGGGAAAGGCTCTGGAAAGAAAAACATAAGCTGCAGCACAAACAAAAATACACAACAGTGACAAAACAAGAAAAAACTAAAAGGCACCAAACGAGCACAAAACCCAAAACAAACATCACAGGGTTGGATTATTATTTATAAAGCGCCTACAAATTCGGCAGCGCTGTACAATGGACTGCTCTGTATTATGGCAACAAGACAGCGTGACTGGATGGGCTGTTCTAGCCAATCACATTGTCTCCTTCATTTTGCATTTACTACAATAAGATATAAATTAACCAATGATGGAGGCCACCGTTGTCCATACAAGCCAGGCATCGAGGGCAACACCCAGCAAAAAGGGGGCCTCCAAAATTCTAAATCATCTGAGAAAACAAAGGAAAATTTTCATGAGATTGTCCTTACTACCTCAAAGACTGGCAAAGGTACATAAAAAAATAATAAAAGTACCCAGGACAGTATTTTGCATGCTGGCAGTACGGGCACCAACAAGGCACTCCTCCACATTATTTGGCAATGCCCATTTCTACTGAATTTTTGGAAAGATGTGTACACACAAGCTTGTCTATGCAGCCAGAGATTTATCTCCTGGATATGTACCCTCCTGCTATCCGAGTCTTAACTCACATTTTGTATTTTCACCTCAGCTAGAAAAAGAGATTCCTCTTATTGGAAGAAACCGTCATCCCTAACACTGCAGATACTGGTGAACAGATTATATAATATTTCAGATGATGTCTGAACAAGCTTCTACGCCATCACAAGATCCAGTTGGAAATTAGACATTTATGTCCTGTCCTTTCCAAACTACAGTTTCCTCTTCTTTTCTCTTGCTTTCATCTCTCTCCTGGTTTATTTCTCTTTACCTTACGTCCACTGGAGTGTACCGTGATAGCCATACAAAAGGGTGTGTTTTGTTAGCCACGTCTCTAGTGGAGATATTTCACGCATGGACTATAGAACAGATAACCCAAAGTTTGAAACTTGGATTGATGGTGATGTAAGCCGGACGATGCCTCTTCCTCCTTCCTGGTCGAAATTTAAGCTGAATGCACTTCACTGTTTAGCTCACTACCATTAAAAACTTAACATCAATCTTGCAAGATTAAAATGTTCAATAAAAGTTCACAAAAATACACAGTAATTCACAACATGCAGAGCAGTGTCTTCAATTCCCCACAAACACAGGAAACGAACCTTTAATTTGAGGGGACACCCCTCCCTTGCAGGACCACCTAGCGGGATTAACTGTCTAATAAAGGGCCCCAGAGGCATAAACTGTGTGGAAGTAACAATTATACCATTATACAAGTGTGAGAGAAGCCAATAGTCACGTCTCTACGGGATTTCTACGGAGATATTATAAACGGCATGTCTATGCTCCCATGCCGGTGAACTAGCTTATTTTAATTAGCTGGCCCTTTGAGACCAGGAAAGATGGAACGGAGTCCATAGTTACGTGTCTCACAAGAGAGAGGGATCCACCAACTATAATTCTAACATTTAGTTGCCTGGAGGGATTCCCTGAGCCGCACACAGCAGGGGACAGAGCAATTTAAAGAAACACCTGGAGCGATTACCTCCGATCGCCATCCCAGTGGGAAATGTCAGCATTGGAGCTGGACCTGCTTCCAGTTAACATGGTTTTCATTTATTTAAGCTTATAACCAGCAAGAAAAAAGTCTGTTTCACCCAACAGACTGAGCATGTGTGAGCTACTGCCTACCACTAAACATTGCTCAATAAAAAGGAAAGAGTGGACTGCACAAAGAGTAAATAGTGCAGAGCCACAGACCGTATGCTCTGCAACAACTTACACAAACATTACCGGTACATCACCACAGACAGTATACTCTGCAACAACTTACACAAACATTACTGGTACATCCCCACAGACAGTATACTCTGCAACAACTTACACAAACATTACCGGTACATCACCACAGACAGTATACTCTGCAACAACTTACACAAACATTACTGGTACATCCCCACAGACCGTATACTCTGCAACAACTTACACAAACATTACCGGTACATCCCCACAGACAGTATACTCTGCAACAACTTACACAAACATTACCGGTACATCCCCACAGACAGTATACTCTGCAACAACTTACACAAACATTACCGGTACATCCCCACAGACAGTATACTCTGCAACAACTTACACAAACATTACTGGTACATCCCCACAGACAGTATACTCTGCAACAACTTACACAAACTTGGCCGGCACATCCCCAGACTACACTGAATGTAAACATTACCGGTACATCCCCAGACTGCACACTGAGAGAATGTAAATATTACTGGCACATTCCCAGACCGTACACTGAGAGAATGTAAATCTAATCCCACGGAGGACTTGAGAAAGTCACACACTCACTCTGTAATTGGGCTGTCCGGGAATCTGGACGGTGAGCAGGATGCAGCTCTTTCTTCTTCTCTTTTTCCATTTGCAAAGAAAACACAGAAGTGACAACTGGCTCACCTGTGAATAAGACCTGGGTTAGGGCTCAGGACAGATAACAGACAAAGCGTAAATGTTCTGATTAATGAACTCATGGAGAAGGTGCTCAGCTCATGCTGTGTGCGGAAGTGAGGGTATGAGTGAGTAATTGAGTGGTTTCCCTATTATTCTGCCAAAGAACCGTTACTGCTTGGACTAATGCCTTTGACGCAGTATGATTTCTGCATTGACATTTTCAGTAGTGTGCCTTGGACTTTAGCCCCGTCCCCAGCTGTTCATATACTGTAGAAAATATTCATGATTTCTGTAAAAACGTGGACTGCATGCGTGAGTGTGGATGGGCACCGGGGAGACAGCACCTCAATATTCCTGCACCATAATCACTATAACGGGGTGTGGTCATGGGTATGGTGTTTAGGGTGATCATTTAGAATCTATAATAAGAGGCCAATCTTGAACTCAAGATTCCTGGGTGTCCTTAATGCAATGTTTGGGGGTTGGTGGTGGCAGGTCAGTAATGAAAGTTAAACATAAAACCTGTGCATGGATTCTCACTTGGACTCTGGGTGGAACTGCTCTCTGAGAAGTCACTCAAAGCAGATTGGTCTCCTTGTTTTATCCTCAGCAAAATATCTGGGCTTCTCGCTGCAAGGGAAACAAAACATGGCAAAGCTCACCAACACAATAATGTAATAACCTGTAATATACACAGCTCTCCTTTTATATAGTATACGATTTCTGTATGGACCCCATAATATACACAGCTCTCCTTTTATATAGTATACGATCTCTGTATGGACCCAGTAATGTACACAGCTCTCCTTTTATATAGTATACGATCTCTGTATGGACCCCATAATATACACAGCTCTCCTTTTATACAGTATACGATCTCTGTATGGACCCAGTAATATACACAGCTCTCCTTTTATATAGTATACGACCTCTGTATGGACCCAGTAATATACACAGCTCTCCTTTTATATAGTATACGATCTCTGTATGGACCCCGTAATATACACAGCTCTCCTTTTATATAGTATACGATCTCTGTATGGACCCTGTAATGTACACAGCTCTCCTTTTATATAGTATACGATCTCTGTATGGACCCAGTAATATACACAGCTCTCCTTTTAAAGTGTACACGATCTCTGTATGGACCCCGTAATATACACAGCTCTCCTTTTATATAGTATACGATCTCTGTATGGACCCCGTAATGTACACAGCTCTCCTTTTATATAGTATACGATCTCTGTATGGACCCCGTAATATACACAGCTCTCCTTTTATATAGTATACGATCTCTGTATGGGCCCCGTAATGTACACAGCTCTCCTTTTATACAGTATACGATCTCTGTATGGACCCCGTAATGTACACAGCTCTCCTTTTATATAGTATACGATCTCTATATGGACCCTGTAATGTACACAGCTCTCCTTTGATACAGTATATGATCTCTGTATGGACCCTGTAATGTACACAGCTCTCCTTTTATACAGTATATGATCTCTGTATGGACCCCGTAATATACACAGCTCTCATTGTATACAATCTCTGTATGGACCCCGTAATATACACAGCTCTCCTTTTATATAGTATACAATCTCTGTATGGACCCCGTAATATACACAGCTCTCCTTTTATATAGTATACGATCTCTGTATGGACCCCGTAATATACACAGCTCTCCTTTTATATAGTATATGATCTCTGTATGGACCCTGTAATGTACACAGTTCTCCTTTTATATAGTATACGATCTCTGTATGGACCCCGTAATATACACAGCTCTCCTTTTATATAGTATACGATCTCTGTATGGACCCTGTAATGTACACAGTTCTCCTTTTATATAGTATACGATCTCTGTATGGACCCTGTAATGTACACAGTTCTCCTTTTATATAGTATACGATCTCTGTATGGACCCCGTAATATACACAGCTCTCCTTTGATACAGTATACGATCTCTGTATGGACCCTGTAATGTACACAGCTCTCCTTTTATACAGTATATGATCTCTGTATGGACCCCGTAATATACACAGCTCTCATTGTATATAGTATACGATCTCTGTATGGACCCCGTAATATACACAGCTCTTTTATACAGTATATGATCTCTTGTATGACCCCTGTAATATACACAGCTTCTCATTGTATATAGTATACCTATCTCTGTATGGACCCTGTAATGGGCTGTGTGATACAGTATATGATCTCTGTATGGACCCTGTAATATACACAGCTCTCCTTTTATATAGTATATGATCTCTGTATGACCCTGTAATATACACAGCTCTCTTTTTATATAGTATACGATCTCTGTATGGACCCCACTCCTAGTATACATCTCCCTGTAATATACACAGCTCTCTTTTATATAGTATACGATCTCTGTATGGACCCCCACAGCTCTCCTTTTATATAGTATACGATCTCTGTATGGACCCTGTAATATACACAGCTCTCCTTTTATATAGTATATGATCTCTGTATGGACCCTGTAATGTACACAGTTCTCCTTTTATATAGTATACGATCTCTGTATGGACCCCGTAATATACACAGCTCTCCTTTTATATAGTATACGATCTCTGTATGGACCCCGTAATATATACAGCTCTCCTTTTATATAGTATACGATCTCTGTATGGACCCTGTAATGTACACAGTTCTCCTTTTATATAGTATACGATCTCTGTATGGACCCTGTAATGTACACAGTTCTCCTTTTATATAGTATACGATCTCTGTATGGACCCCGTAATATACACAGCTCTCCTTTGATACAGTATATGATCTCTGTATGGACCCTGTAATATACACAGCTCTCCTTTTATACAGTATATGATCTCTGTATGGACCCCGTAATATACACAGCTCTCATTGTATATAGTATACGATCTCTGTATGGACCCCGTAATATACACAGCTCTCCTTTTATACAGTATATGATCTCTGTATGGACCCCGTAATATACACAGCTCTCATTGTATATAGTATACGATCTCTGTATGGACCCTGTAATGTACACAGCTCTCCTTTTATATAGTATATGATCTCTGTATGGACCCAGTAATATACACAGCTCTCCTTTTATATAGTATACGATCTCTGTATGGACCCCCACAGCTCTCCTTTTATATAGTATACGATCTCTGTATGGACCCTGTAATATACACAGCTCTCCTTTTATATAGTATACGATCTCTGTATGGACCCTGTAATGTACACAGCTCTCCTTTTATATAGTATACGATCTCTGTATGGACCCTGTAATATACACAGCTCTCCTTTTATATAGTATATGATCTCTGTATGGACCCAGTAATGTACACAGCTCTCCTTTTATATAGTATACGATCTCTGTATGGACCCAGTAATATACACAGCTCTCCTTTTATACAGTATATGATCTCTGTATGGACCCCGTAATATACACAGCTCTCATTGTATATAGTATACGATCTCTGTATGGACCCTGTAATGTACACAGCTCTCCTTTTATATAGTATATGATCTCTGTATGGACCCAGTAATATACACAGCTCTCCTTTTATATAGTATACGATCTCTGTATGGACCCCCACAGCTCTCCTTTTATATAGTATACGATCTCTGTATGGACCCTGTAATATACACAGCTCTCCTTTTATATAGTATACGATCTCTGTATGGACCCTGTAATATACACAGCTCTCCTTTTATATAGTATACGATCTCTGTATGGACCCTGTAATATACACAGCTCTCCTTTTATATAGTATACGATCTCTGTATGGACCCTGTAATGTACACAGCTCTCCTTTTATACAGTATACGATCTCTGTATGGACTCCTGTAATATACACAGCTCTCCTTTTTATATAGTATACGACTTGTATGGACCCAGTAATATACATTAGCCTTCCCTCTTTTAGTGTATAGTATACGATCTCTGTATGGACCCTGTAATATACACAGCTCTCCTTTTATATAGTATACGATCTCTGTATGGACCCAGTAATATACACAGCTCTCCTTTTATATAGTATACGATCTCTGTATGGACCCTGTAATGTACACAGCTCTCCTTTTATACAGTATACGATCTCTGTATGGACCCAGTAATATACACAGCTCTCCTTTTATACAGTATACGATCTCTGTATGGACCCAGTAATATACACAGCTCTCCTTTTATACAGTATACGATCTCTGTATGGACCCTGTAATGTACACAGCTCTCCTTTTATACAGTATACGATCTCTGTATGGACCCTGTAATATACACAGCTCTCCTTTTATATAGTATACGATCTCTGTATGGACCCAGTAATATACACAGCTCTCCTTTTATATAGTATACGATCTCTGTATGGACCCCGTAATATACACAGCTCTCCTTTTATATAGTATACGATCTCTGTATGGACCCCGTAATATACACAGCTCTCCTTTTATATAGTATACGATCTCTGTATGGACCCAGTAATATACACAGCTCTCCTTTTATATAGTATACGATCTCTGTATGGACCCAGTAATATACACAGCTCTCCTTTTATATAGTATACGATCTCTGTATGGACCCCGTAATATACACAGCTCTCCTTTTATATAGTATACGGTCTCTGTATGGACCCCGTAATATACACAGCTCTCCTTTTATATAGTATACGATCTCTGTATGGACCCTGTAATATACACAGCTCTCCTTTTATATAGTATATGATCTCTGTATGGACCCTGTAATATACACAGCTCTCCTTTTATATAGTATACGATCTCTGTATGGACCCCGTAATATACACAGCTCTCCTTTTATATAGTATACGATCTCTGAATGGACCCCGTAATATACACAGCTCTCCTTTTATATAGCATACGATCTCTGTATGGACCCAGTAATATACACAGCTCTCCTTTTATATAGTATATGATCTCTGGATGGACCCCGTAATATACACAGCTCTCCTTTTATATAGTATATGATCTCTGTATGGACCTTGTAATATACACAGCTCTCCTTTTATATAGTATACAATCTCTGTATGGACCCCGTAATATACACAGCTCTCCTTTTATATAGTATACGATCTCTGTATGGACCCTGTAATATACACAGCTCTCCTTTTATATAGTATACGATCTCTGTATGGACCCCGTAATATACACAGCTCTCCTTTTATATAGTATACGATCTCTGTATGGGCCCCGTAATGTACACAGCTCTCCTTTTATACAGTATACGATCTCTGTATGGACCCCGTAATGTACACAGCTCTCCTTTTATATAGTATACGATCTCTGTATGGACCCAGTAATATACACAGCTCTCCTTTTATATAGTATATGATCTCTGTATGGACCCAGTAATATACACAGCTCTCCTTTTACATAGTATATTAACTTCCCCACATATAGGTTCAATCATTCATGCTTATTTACCTGAGGCGTGGCACTCTCTCGTTCCTTTCCTTCGCCACTGGTCTGCAACATGTTCCTGTTTAATTGCCATCAGATGGTCCAGTTCTTCAGAAGGACAAGCTACAACAACGGAGACAAAATTTCAGCCCAGGCTGCCGTCTTTTTAAAAATTGTTTTGCCTTAATGTAATAAGTAAGACACACTTATGGCTCTTTCCAGCTTGCATTTTATGGCTGTTGGGTTGTGACTGACAACTACTCCAGTGAACAACAGTGGAAGAATGAACGTTGTAGGATTCTTATAGTGTTTCCAAACTACCACCAGGGTCTCCATCATAGCATGACTTGTGAATGGAAAGCAAGCCAAATGCACCAGGGAGGTGAATGCAAGACTTGTATTTTACAATGTACATCTCTGTAGGTCCGGAGCTTGTCCTACTGACAAGAGCAGAAGTCAAAGAAATGTTTCAGAAGTTACAGTTCTATGGAAAGCATTTAAATGGACCACGAATGGGCAGTGGTGATTTCGCTGGATCTCGGTAAAGTGTGTTCTTTGTTTGCATCTTTACAAAGAAGGGGGGACAGAATGAATAATGCACAGCAGGGATTTTTAAACTACTTACAAAATTGTTATACAAAGGTTTTAGAGTGATCCTCTAATCACTGGATGTTTTAGCTGCTTTTACCTGCGCTGGATATGGAGCCATCAAAATCACAGATGCTTGTGTAATTGTCCTTAACCTTCTTAATCCGGAAAAGAACATCTGGGTTTATGATCTCGAAGCCTGCAATAAATGCAACAAAATAACACATCTACAGAAATCATTTAAAGGAAAGCACACATCTAATAGAACATGGTTGTGCAGAGAAACAGGGGACCTCCTTACACCATAACCTTATAGCTGTAGTTATAATACACTGTGTGCGGGGAGACAGGGGACCTCCTTACACCATAACCTTATAGCTGTAGTTATAATACACTGTGTGCGGGGAGACAGGGGACCTCCTTACACCATAACCTTATAGCTGCAGTTATAATACACTGTGTGCGGGGAGACAGGGGTCCTCCTTACACCATAACCTTATAGCTGTAGTTATAATACACTGTGTGCAGGGAGACAGGGGACCTTCTTACACCATAACCTTATAGCTGCAGTTATAATACACTGTGTGCGGGGAGACAGGGGACCTCCTTACACCATAACCTTATAGCTGTAGTTATAATACACTGTGTGCGGGGAGACAGGGGACCTCCTTACACCATAACCTTATAGCTGCAGTTATAATACACTGTGTGCGGGGAGACAGGGGACCTCCTTACACCATAACCTTATAGCTGCAGTTATAATACACTGTGTGCGGGGAGACAGGGGTCTTCATTACACCATAACCTTATAGCTGCAGTTATAATACACTGTGTGCGGGGAGACAGGGGACCTCCTTACACCATAACCTTATAGCTGCTGTTATAATACACTGTGTGGGGAGACAGGGGACCTCCTTACACCATAACCTTATAGCTGCGGTTATAATACACTGTGTGCGGGGAGATAGGGGACTTCCTTATACCATAACCTTATAGCTGCAGTTATAATACACTGTGTGCGGGGAGACCGTGGAACTCCTTACACCATAACCTTATAGCTGCAGTTATAATACACTGTGTGCGGGGAGACAGGGGACCTCCTTACACCATAACCTTATAGCTGCAGTTATAATACACTGTGTGCGGGGAGACAGGGGACCTCCTTACACCATAACCTTATAGCTGCAGTTATAATACACTGTGTGCAGGGAGACAGGGGACCTCTTTACACCATAACCTTATAGCTGCAGTTATAATACACTGTGTACGGGGAGACAGGGGACCTCCTTACACCATAACCTTATAGCTGCAGTTATAATACACTGTGTGCGGGGAGACAGGGTACCTCCTTACACCATAACCTTATAGCTGCAGTTATAATACACTGTGTGCAGGGAGACAGGGGACCTCCTTACACCATAACCTTATAGCTGCAGTTATAATACACTGTGTGCGGGGAGACAGGGGACCTCCTTACACCGTAACCTTATAGCTGCAGTTATAATACACTGTATGCGGGGAGACAGGGGACTTCCTTACACCATACAAACAATTCGCCCCTATAATAGTCCCGCACCTGCATAGCTGCAGTTATAATACACTGTGTGCAGGGAGACAGGGGACCTCCTTACACCATAACCTTATAGCTGCAGTTATAATACACTGTGTGCGGGGAGACAGGGGACCTCCTTACATCATAACCTTATAGCTGCAGTTATAATACACTGTGTGCGGGGAGACAGGGGAGCTCCTTACAGCATAACCTTATAGTTGCAGTTATAATACACTGTGTGCGGGGAGACAGGGGATCACCTTACACCATAACCTTATAGCTGCAGTTATAATACACTGTGTGCGGGGGGGACAGGGGACATCCTTACACCATAACCTTATAGCTGCAGTTATAATACACTGTGTGCGGGGAGACAGGGAACCTCATTACACCATAACCTAATAGCTGCAGTTAAAATACACTGTGTGCAGGGAGAAAGGGGACCCTCCTTACACAGTAACCTTATAGCTGCAGTTATAATACACTGTGTGCGGGGAGACATGGGACCTCCTTACACCATAACCTTATAGCTGCAGTTCTAATACACTGTGTGTGGGGAGACAGGGGACCTCCTTACACCATAACCTTATAGCTGCAGTTTTAATACACTGTGTATGGGGAGACATGCACCATAACCTTATAGCTGCAGTTATATACACTGTGTGCGGAGACAGGGGACCTCCTTACACCATAACCTTATAGCTGTAGTTAACACACCGTGTGCAGGGACAGGACCTCCTTACACCATAACCTTATAGCTGCAGTTATAATACACTGTGTGCGGGGAGACAGGGGACCTCCTTACACCATAACAACCTTTATAGCTGCAGTTATAATACACTGTGTGCAGGAGACAGGGGACCTTCTACACCATAACCTTATGCTGCAGTTATAATACACTGTGTGCGGGGGGACCTCCTTACACCATAACCTTATAGCTGTAGTTATAATACACTGTGTGCTGAGACAGGGGACCTCCTTACACCATAACCTTATAGCTGCAGTTATAATACACTGTGGGAGACAGGGACCTCCTTACACCATAACCTTATAGCTGCAGTTATAATACACTGTGTGCGGGAGACAGGGGACCTCCTTACACCATAACCTTATAGCTGCAGTTATAATACACTGTGTGCGGGGAGACAGGGGACCTCCTTACACCATAACCTTATAGCTGCAGTTATAATACACTGTGTGCGGGGAGACAGGGGACCTCCTTACACCATAACCTTATAGCTGCAGTTATAATACACTGTGTGCGGGGAGACAGGGGACCTCCTTACACCATAACCTTATAGCTGCAGTTATAATACACTGTGTGCGGGGAGACAGGGGACCTCCTTACACCATAACCTTATAGCTGCAGTTATAATACACTGTGTGCAGGAGACAGGGGACCTCCTTACACCATAACCTTATAGCTGCAGTTATAATACACTGTGTGCGGGGAGACAGGGGACCTCCTTACACCATAACCTTATAGCTGCAGTTATAATACACTTAGAGACAGGGACACCATAACCTTATAGCTGCAGTTATAATACACTGTGTACGGGGAGTAGGACCTCTTACACCATAACCTTATAGCTGCAGTTATAATACACTGTGTGCGGGGAGACAGGGACCTCCTTACACCATAACCTTATAGCTGCAGTTATAATACACTGTGTGCGGGGAGACAGGGGACCTCCTTACACCATAACCTTATAGCTGCAGTTATAATACACTGTGTGCGGGGAGACAGGGGACCTCCTTACATCATAACCTTATAGCTGCAGTTATAATACACTGTGTGCGGGGAGACAGGGGAGCTCCTTACAGCATAACCTTATAGTTGCAGTTATAATACACTGTGTGCGGGGAGACAGGGGATCACCTTACACCATAACCTTATAGCTGCAGTTATAATACACTGTGTGCGGGGGGGACAGGGGACATCCTTACACCATAACCTTATAGCTGCAGTTATAATACACTGTGTGCGGGGAGACAGGGAACCTCATTACACCATAACCTAATAGCTGCAGTTAAAATACACTGTGTGCAGGGAGAAAGGGGACCCTCCTTACACAGTAACCTTATAGCTGCAGTTATAATACACTGTGTGCGGGGAGACATGGGACCTCCTTACACCATAACCTTATAGCTGCAGTTCTAATACACTGTGTGTGGGAGACAGGGGACCTCCTTACACCATAACCTTATAGCTGCAGTTTTAATACACTGTGTATGGGGAGACAGTGCACCATAACCTTATAGCTGCAGTTATATTACACTGTGTGCGGCTAGACAGGGGACCTCCTTACACCATAACCTTATAGCTTTAGTTATAATTAACTGTGTGCAGGGAGACATGGGACCTCCTTACACCATAACCTTATAGCTGCAGTTCTAATACACTGTGTGTGGGGAGACAGGGGACCTCCTTACACCATAACCTTATAGCTGCAGTTATAATACACTGTGTATGGGGAGACAGGGGACCTCCTTACACCATAACCTTATAGCTGCAGTTATATTACACTGTGTGCGGCTAGACAGGGGACCTCCTTACACCATAACCTTATAGCTGTAGTTATAATAAACTGTGTGCAGGGAGACAGGGGACCTCCTTACACCATAACCTTATAGCTGCAGTTATAATACACTGTGTGCTGGGAGACAGGGGACCTCCTTACACCATAACCTTATAGCTGCAGTTATAATACACTGTGTGCGGGGAGACAGGGGACATTCTTACACCATAACCTTATAGCTGTAGTTATAATATACTGTGTGCGGGGAGACAGGGGACCTCCTTACACCATAACCTTATAGCTGCAGTTATAATACACTGTGTGCGGGGAGACAGGGGACCTCCTTACACCATAACCTTACAGCTGCAGTTATAATACACTGTGTGCTGGGAGACAGAGGACCTCCTTACACCATAACCTTATAGCTGCAGTTATAATACACTGTGTGCCACAAATAGATCTCCTTAGGAGACTACGGGATGTCACGGCGACACACCTCCTGAACCCGTCGGATACATATGCAGCAACCATTAAAGACATCACTAAACAAATCAACGTAGGGTCGCTTGAGAAAACAGCCTACATCCTTACCAAACTGAAGGATTTGCTCTGCAGGGCAGGGAAACACTTAGGGTAACAGGGCAGGGAAACACTTAGCTACCATACTTAGACAAAAACAGGCTAATTCTAAAATCCCATTCATACTTACCAATAAAGGGGATAAACTCCACAATCCACAGGAAATCAACGACAACATGGCAGACTACTATCACTCCCTTTATAATCTCAACAAAGTCCCAACACTGCATCAGCCCAAGATGCAAGAGATAGAGGACGTCCTAACCTCTGTTACCCTACCCACACTCACGACTGAACAACATGATGCCCTTAAAAAGCCTATAACAACAAGAAGAACTACTAGACACCATCCACTCCCTCCCACCAGGAAAGTCGCCAGGCCCAGATGGATTACCTAACTCATATTACAAACAATTCTCCCCTATAATAGTCCCGCACCTGCAAAAAATTTTCCACAATGCATTACAGACAGGGACATTACCGACAGAGATGCTTATGGCGCATGTCGTAACCCTCCCCAAGCCAGGGAAACCACCAAACAGATGCCAAAAACTTAAGGCCTATATCCCTGTTAAACACAGATGTAAAAATACTGGCCAAAATCTTCTCTAATATGCTCACACAAATAATCCCCACAATTATAGGTGGCGACCAAGTGGGAGCAGATGGCACGAGGAAAACTCTAAACTTACTGTATGAGAGGCAAAACAAACAAAAAAACTCCCTGTGTCCTGCTATTGCTAGACGCAGAAAAAGCATTTGACAGGCTCCACTGGCCCTTTTTACTAACAGTCCTACGGAAATTTGGCTTACCAACTCCGTTCATATCACTGGTCACTGCACTATACTCATCCCCAACGGCCCGAGTGGTAAATGGGAGATTCGAATCAAAACCATTCACCATCTCCAATGGCTCTAGGCAAGGCTGCCCACTCTCCCCACTACTTTACATTCTAGCATTAGAACCCCTCGTCCAACTTATTCGCGAACACCCAGACATACACGGGATTAGGGTGCATGACAGAGAATACAAAATGTCCCTCTTCGCAGAGGACATCCTCTTGACCCTTGAACAACCACATGTGCCACTACCCAACTTCCATAAAATCCTCTCCCAATACAGTCACTGCTCATACTATAAACTAAACATTGCAAAGACCCTAGCACAAGGAATAAACATCCCGAACCCAATCCTGATAAACTTAAAAACAAACTTTAACTATGACTGGAGACAGGACCACAAAGTTCCTGGGGGTCAACTTTACACCTACAACAAGCACATTACATAAAGCAAACTACATCAAGCTACTCATGGAAATTAAAACCCTTCTGCAAAGTTGGAAGGGCAAATACATATCTTGGACAGGCCAAATAGCAGCAGTGAAAATGGTAATCCTACCAAAAATCCAATATTTATTCCGCACGCTTCCAATCAAACTACCGAAACAATACCTACTGGAATTACAGAACACCTTAACTAACTACATATGGGACTACAAAAAAACAAGAGTAGCCAAAACAACCTTATACAGACCCTCTACCCAGGGCGGGATATTATAGAGCTGCCCACATAACCCCCCTTGTGGCACTCTCACACTGACAAGACCTCCCAGCATGGGCCGAAATAGAGAAAAACCATGCGAAGGGACTCTCCATACCACTCCTGTCATGGCTGCCAAAAACCCTCTGAGTTGTTACCTACAACGGCACTAACTCTCTCCATATGGGATACATATAGAAAAAAGATGGGGGCAACAGCAATACTCTCTCCAGCACTCCCACTGGATATATTACGACTACTTATTCCAGACTTTAACTATAAACTTTGGCACAGGCATGGTGCGAAAACTATGTCACAAGTAATGCAGGGAAACAAACTCAAATCACTACCAGACCTCCAGACAGAATTCAAGCTACCCAGTACGGCAACCTTTTCATACAGGCATACATGGATACTTGCTCAACCAACACCGCAACAATCTACACCAGCGAACGCATACTGGACAACACTAATCCAGATATGCACGAAGGCAAAGCCAGCAACAAAACCTATCTCCACGATATACGCCTCAGAACAAACGCAAACACAGACTAAACTACCCTCCTTCAAAACAGCGTGGGAACAAGACATCGGACACCGGTGGATTGTTTAAAGCCCTCGCCCCTGAAGTGCCCCACGACATGTTCTTAATGGATAGGCCGCATAGAGTGCCAAAATCCTCCTTTCTGCCACCAGAGACTCCCAGAGATGTCTTACTGAGAATGCACTATTTTCACATAAAGGAAGACATTATGAGAGCGAACAGAACTAGTAATAAGGCGGACCTGCCGACGGCCTGCCAAGCCATCATGATCTACGCCGACATCTCCGCATATACACTTAAATGTCGAAAGGACTTTGCAGAGATCACCATGCAATTTCGCCAACAACACCTCCCATACAGATGGGCTACCCAGTGAAGCTAGTGGTACAAAGGAACGGGAAAACAATCATCCTGCAGACGCCGGAGGAAGGGGCGAAAATACTCCGGAGTTGGGGCGCTGAAATCCAAACCACGACAAAAGAGACTCAGAGATTCCCTCCATCATGGAGGAAAGCCAATTGTTAGCTTACTCCCCCTGCGAAGGCAGTGTGCAGACCAGCCCGAGAGAGTAATACCCCACTACTTGGTTCAGGCTTGTATGACAAATGTGATTTAAATGTTTTTTTTAATTTTTTTATTAAGGAAACAACAGAATAATGCACGTAATATTGTATATAGTTAGCCCGCTAGATTGTAAGGGATGCCGAACTCGGGAAGGGAAGGAGGGGTGATCAAGCAGACAGGACAGGGTGGCAACACATTCATAATAATCAGGCCCAGTAAGCGGCAGAGCACTGAGAAGAAGCCCAACTGAGATTAAGGGCCTGATAGAAACATAGAATGTGACGACAGATAAGAACCATTTGGCCCATCTAGTTTGCCCAATTTTCTAAATACTTTCATTAGTCCCTACCTTATCTTATAGTTAGGACAGCCTTATGCCTATCCCACGCATGCTTAAACTCCTTTACTGTGTTAACCTCTACCACTTCAGCTGGAAGGCTATTCCATGCATCCACTACCCTCTCAGTAAAGTAATACTTCCTGATATTATTTTTAAACCTTTGTCCCTCTAATTTAAGACTATGTCCTCTTGTTGTGGTAGTTTTTCTTCTTTTAAATATAGTCTCCTCCTTTACTGTGTTGATTCCCTTTATGTATTTAAATGTTTCTATCATATCCCCCCTGTCTCGTCTTTCCTCCAAGCTATACATGTTAAGATCCTTTAACCTTTCCTGGTAAGTTTTATCCCGCAATCCATGAACCAGTTTAGTAGCCCTTCTCTGAACCCTCTCTAAGGTATCAATATCCTTCTGAAGATACGGTCTCCAGTACTGTGTACAATACTCCAAGTGAGGTCTCACCAGTGTTCTGTACAATGGCATGAGCACTTCCCTCTTTCTACTGCTAATACCTCTCCCTATACAACCAAGCATTCTGCTAGCATTTCCTGCTGCTCTATTACATTGTCTGCCTACCTTTAAGTCATCAGAAATAATCACCCCTAAATCCCTTTCCTCATATGTTGAGGTTAGACTCTATCAAATATTCTGTACTCTGCCCTTGGGTTTTTACGTCCAAGATGCATTATCTTGCACTTATCCACATTAAATGTCAGTTGCCACAATTCTGACCAAGCCCATGTCAACACTGGACACAATCAGTGCAGGTAGAACACACCTCGATGCATGTGCCAACCCCCCCTGACTCCCAAAGAGCGCTTGCCACCAAGCTATGCACAAAAAAAACCAAAAAACACAACAAGCATGGTAGAAATCCACCAATACCCGAACCGAAACAAAACTGCACAGGACACCTAACTAAGGGTAACAGCACTACGACCCGGCCTGGACCCCAAAAGTAAGGGAACACAACATATTACACTGGACCAGGGGCAGCGCAGAAACTCCTCTGGGCGGCTCCAGCCACAGAAATACAAAAGAATACAGTATTACCAGTGGAACACATACATAAAGAAATAAAACAAGATATTCTCATACACCTTAGTGAGTACCCTTCGCCCTCACATCAAACAGAGTTTACATACAATATAGGGTGGAGTATCTTCTTGTTTAAAGCAAATATTGGTATTGCCTAGAGATAAAACAGATAAAGACACATAACAGTGCAATATTGTCTAAATCTCAAATAGAATGAAAAGGAGGTATGTGAAAATACACTCACAAAACAAGAGCCTATAAAATAAGGCTCAATCTTCCAGCGTTGTGGGATTAAGGAAGATACTCCACCCTATATTGTATGTATGCTCCAGCCACAGGCCTTCTGCACAAAAACATCTAAGACAGGCTCACCGTAATTTGACAAACAATAACATAGGCCGCAGCCGCAGAACCGTAGCCAAGACGGGAGCCATTAGCTTCCATCCCCAACGCACCACAACCTGGTGCCTAGCCGGACATGCGGCAAAATTGGTTTCAAGACATTGTTTATCAGCTTTTGTTAATGCACTTGTCCTAATATATGTATTTATGTTTGTAATACTTATGTTTGCTATTATTAGATCACGCTCTGTCAGGCACTCACCAGGGGTAAACCAGAGGGTCCTGCAACAATCTCCCTTCAGGCCAACATACATGCCACAAAGTCAACAAGTAACATGGGGACGCCTCCTTGGTTCGACGGAACTGGGACAGAGGGGACCCCCCACTTATAGTCTTCACACACAAGTATACAAACAATATCATGCCCACCAACCACCGTGGAGATCTACTCACACAATGTTAAAGGACTCCTCCTGTATAAAGAGATAAAACATAGGAAAGCGGATGTGCTATCCAGGAGACACACTTCATGACTGGTACGCACCCCAACATATTGCAGCGAGATTACCCGACCCAGTTTCACGCAACCTCCGCCAGCAAGACTAAGGGCACCTCAGTATCAATCAGTAAAAATGTAGCCTTCCTCCTGAAATCACAACACATAGACCCAGAAGACAGATACGCCATCATCATAGGCACACTCAACGATATGCCATACACCATAGCAAATATATACGCTCCGAACATAAACTAACAAAACTTCCTACACAAAATCATACTAAAACTATAGACTATCCAACAAGGCGCCACAATGGAGACTTCAATCACGTGTTTGACCCCACGATAGACACGACACTGGCCTCAGCCAGAGCAAGCACCACACCTCTTAGGAAACAAGGCAGGGAAATGAGAAAGCTCATACACAACTACCACTTTTACGATGTGTGGAGAGCCACCCATGTCGAAAAGAGGGGATATACCTTCTTCTCCTCAGTACACAACACCTACTCCCGCATTGGAGGATGTCTCATATTTGGGGCTGGGATAAACCAAGTAACCCACTGTGAAATAGGACAGATCGAATGGTAAAAACCTTTATGACCCGACTCACAGGAGCCCGTGGCGACTTAACACTACACTCCTGACAGATAACAGATTCACCGCAGAACTGAACACGAAAATAACACACTACTTTCATGAAAACGACAGCACAGACATGACATGCCCACAAATCCGTGATAAGAGGACTGCTGATAAAGCTAGCCTCTTATTTAAAAAGAAAATCTCAAACACAACTCCTAACATACCAAACGGACCTTCAGCGAGCCACGACACAAAACCAAATCACACCCACACAGGAGCTGCGGAAACAAATAGCACAACTCACAGTACGCATACATCAGATATCCCTAGACCAAGTAAGGTACCACTTGAAAAAACTCAAAGCACAGAACTACATGCAGGGCAACAAAGCAGGCAAGCTGCTCGCACAGAGACTCAGGACACAACAAGCAGCTCAAAAAATAGCATACATGGTATCTCCTAATGGACAAAAAATAGTAGCACCAAAAGACATCAGTAACGTCTTCGCTAAATACTACGAATTGTTATACAACCTTAGAAACGACCCTAACACACCCCAGCCGCAGGAATCTAAAATTGCCTCGTTTTTAGATAAAGTTAATTTGCCCACACTCACCCCCGCCCAACAAGACTGCCTCTCTGCCCCAATCACAGAGACAGAGGTGCTGAAGGCTATTGCCTCCATGCCCGCAGACAAAGCCCCGGGCACGGATGGGTTTGCGAACGGCTACTACAAACGCTTCCAACTAACCCTAGCTCCGCACCTCACAAACACCTTCAACAAAGCCGTTGCACGGCAGAAACTGCCCCCGGAGGCCTTGAAGGCACACATAATCACACTGCCCAAACCAGGCAAACCACCCACCCACAAAACTTTCGCCCAATCTTGTTACTAAACACAGACACAAAACTCTTTGCAAAAATTTACGCCACCAGGCTGGGAGACATACTCCCACAAGTAAAAACGACCAAGTCGGGTTTGTGAAAGGGCGACAGGGAGGAGACAACACGAGAAAGGTCCTGGACATTATACACAGCGTAAACAAACAACAAACAGAATGCGCGGTTCTTTCGCTAGACGCGGAGAAGGCCTTCGACCGTCTGGGCTGGGGGTTTCTGGAAGCAGTGCTCCGAAAGTCTGGGATGCCGGAGACCTTCCACTCGGCGGTCGGGGCCTTGTACAGCAAGCCGACGGCTCAGGTGGTCACCGCGGGCCACACCTCGGAACCATTTAACATTACGAATGGAACGCGGCAGGGCTGTCCGCTCTCCCCCCTGCTATATGTATTGGCCCTGGAACCGCTAGCAGAGTTAATCAGGGACAATAAATCCATACATGGAGTGACCATAGGAGACAGGGAATATAAAATAAATCTTTTTGCGGACGATGTCCTGCTGACACTGACCCAGCCACAAATTTCACTACCAAACCTCATGGACACTATTACGGAATAAGGCCAGAGCAAGCAGAGCAGATCAGTACACATATTATTACTTAAGTTTCAGTTTAACCCTCACCCTAACCTCCCCCCACCTATGTATACATTCAGCGTCAAAGACCTACAGTCAAGGGGCCAAAAAAAGTAACAATGCTTAGCAAGTACGACTCCACATGACCTCCCCACCCCACCCCACCCCCCCCTTTGCAGCTCACCGAACAAAAAAACCCACACAAGAGAGATGGGAGGAGGCCGGGCAAAAATGCCACCTGGGAGCAAGGGGAGAAAGTACAAAAGGTAACCAGAAAGCATGTATCCAAAGTGTACAAGGAATTTGGTATATAAATGTTATGTGGGAAATAATACCGCACACCAGAAATAACACCACCCACCAGAGATACAGTGATTTTGAACACAAAGAATGTTAACCCATACATGCTAAACATAGCAACTGTATTGTATATTTGACTCTATTCCCTTCCCCTTTTTCATTTCTGTACCCCCCCCATTCAACTTTGAAAAATAAAAATTGTCAAACTGAAAAAAAATAATACACTGTGTGCGGCTAGACAGGGGACCTCCTTACACCATAACCTTATAGCCGCAGTTATATACACTGTGTGTGAGGAGACAGGGGACCTCCTTACACCATAACCTTATAACTGCAGTTATAATACACTGTGTGCAGAGGTAGGACAGGGTTCACATTCTCTTGATTGAGGAAAGTAATTTTGTGGAATCGTCGCATATGATGTACTTTTTCTAACCAGACTGCTAAATCCAATCAATCCATGTTACTCACAATTGAAATGTCTTCTTACCCATGGCCTGGAGGGCCTCGTGGATGTCCCGCATCACGTTCTTGTAGAGCTCTTTCTGCCATTCCTCCAGCAAACCCCATTCCTCTGCGGAGAAACAAGCTGCTACGTCGTGGAAGGTGACGGATACCTGCATGGGTTAACAGTTTCTTATCTTGAGGATCTACCATCATTAAAATATAACAAATCAATAACTCTTTAGCGTTTCAATGGGAAAGGAGTAAGGAGCAGCAGTAAGGAGATAGTTAACGGAGCAGTGAATTTAAGATTTTACCACAATTAGGGCACATTTGCAGAAGAGGTTTGTTATTGTGCTATTTTGATCTAAATTTAGCAGAATAGTGAATTAGTGAATAAGCCTCTTACGTACGCTGCTTACTGTAAAATATAGTGATACGTTGAGATAACTAGCCTTGGGCCATTATCCAAATAAAATTCTAGACACAGACTTCGGGTCTTCGTGGTCCACATAACTGACCACGGTATAACACCAGTGTGAAATGTGGTGCATCTCAAACAACTGATCTCCAGGGATTTTCACAGAAAATGTCACAACAAAAACATTCAACCCAAAAGAGAGTTTCACAAGAAATGTGAAAGGTGACATTAATAATCTCAGAATGGACAGTGTACTAAGCCATGACGCTATGGTCCACCATGGAGTAAGCCATGTGAACCCAGCTAAGTTTGTGCCAGTGGTGGTATGGTATTAGGGTTTATTTTTCTTTGCAACTCTAAAAAGACACTCTAAGCAGCAAACAACTTTAGCTTAATAAAGAGGTTTTGGTTTATGGATTATGCCCCTGCAGTCTCAGTGCTCAAATCTCTGCCATGTATTTTGTGCAGCCCTAGACACACTGTGTCTCGTATGGCCGTGACTCAAAAAGTCACCCTACACACTTTCTGTAAAGAGATACAATTTTAAACTTCCCTTATTGCACAGTATGTTTCATTTAGAATTTATCTCCTGTGTGCAATTAAAGCACAATTAACAGAGCAGGAGCATTTTAGAACTTCTAAAATAAACACACACTGCTGTAAAATATAATTGAAAATAAATCCATTTTTTTTGCATGCAGGCTGTGCAAGTCACAGCCAGGGGAGAGAGTGTGAGTGTGAGTCTATTAGTAACATCTTAAACCAGGAAACACAGGATGCCAGCTCATGTGCCATTACAGCACAATTATTAATCCATACATAATCAAGCAAAGCAATTATGTACCACCCACAGTGACAGATACAGGCAACATATCTGGAAGCTTTATACCAAGGCTGCATAAATCCTAGCGCCAAGAATTCTGTCTGCCTGCTGGAGAGATTAAAAGCAACCCCACACTGACAGGATTAGGGATAAAGCCAAGCCGCCAGCCGCCGCACCCTGCCCAGATAAAGTAATTGAAATGAAAATATTTCCTGCCTCCGCAGTGCCCTAATAGGGGCTACTGAACGCCAATCCCATCTATGCTTGTTAAATAGTGAAAATAGGGACATTTGCTTTATGTATTGTGATTTTGATTTAAAAGGCGCTGTCGTGCCCTAGAAGGACCCCTTACACTGTTACCCAGGGATGGGATGGGGTGAGGACTCTGTCCCCTTTATCGTGCCCTAGAAGGAGCCCTCACACTGTCACCCAGTGATGGGAAGGAGTGAGAGTCCTGTCCCATTTATCATGCTCTAGAATGACCGCTCACACTATCACCCAGTGATGGGATAGGGTGAGGACTCTGTTCCCTTTATCATGCCCTAGAAGGACCCCTCTCACTGTCACCCAGTGATGGGGGGGAGGACTATGTCCCTTGTATCGTGCCCTAGAAGGACCCCTCACACGGTCACCTAGTGATGGGATGTAGTTGTCGTGGTGGGTTAAAATTCACTATATGTCTGCACAAGACTGGAAATAATGATAAAATCCCCCCTTAACACCACCCACACTTAAACATAATAATATAACTATTACTATTTTAATGCTGCCTGCCACCACCAAGACAATTTATAAATGGGGTGCCTTGGTTCCCCAGGTAAATCAATAATAAAAACCCACCAATATAACTTGGCACACTATCTAAGCAATTGCAAAATACCAATTAGTCTCTTCAGGTAACGTGATTCTTTACCAGACAAAGGCAGAACTTAATAAATGAAAATTTTCTTATGAGCAAAAAAAAAATAGTCACAGTGCATACAATCAAATTAGTTACACCAACAACAGATAAAGACAAGAGGGATAAAATAACAGAAATTCTAATTACTTACTCAGGTTGTCAAAGTAGAACGTCTGCCCAGGGGGTCTCCGGCAAGAAAGATAGTGACTCACTTAGAATTAGATTCTGACCCCTCAAGCAAGTACCATGCACCCTTCAGTATCATTAGTGATATACCCTGTGCATTACCACGCCTCATTCAGAGGTGAAGTTAAGTGGTATCTTTGGAGACCCTAAGTGACCACACCCTTGTGTCCAGACCCATATCAATCCAAATGGAAACATTTGGTTCTATCTTCTCTTATGTATCTGCTACAGCAATAATAATTGCATCTACGATTTTGTTATTATTTTCCCAGTACATAGATATGTCACACTTCTTACTTATGACCCAATATAGCGGACATCACAATCCCTTCCCCTATGGTCAAGGTATGCCAATCATGTTTGGGCTTGATTAGAAGATGGCGCTTGTCACATTCCAAATATAACAGAAATGAGGCTTAATTATTATTCTGTGGGTAAATATTGTTTTTCTTCTTTTGGATATGATACTGGAACAGGGCTAATGGCCATTAACATATCAAAAGGACCCCTTATCTAAGAGGGAATCTAGACATATGGCACATTAGAGAGTTAGTTTATATGTAAACCAGACTTCCAGGCCACTTATGTGTGACTTCTCCTACCTTACAGAGCTTTTGATGAATCCTTTTTGATCAATGCATAAGGTAAACCATCTGCTTCCTTTCACATTCCTATGCAATTCACCCTACCCCTTCTGTCATCTGAACTCTGTGCCTTAATTCCTCTTTTAATTATATTATAAATAGTATGGTGGCTTATCCCGTTAACACTGAATCTAGAAAGGAAGACGGTAGGTACGAAGGGATTTATTATTATGTAGAAAATGAATGTTTTTGTCATTTACCTGATACATCGGGGAGGACATACTGCAGATCCACCAATAAGGTAAGCTATGTCTTCAGAGACATTCACAGCCTTAAAAAACAGCAACTCTCCTCAGTAACCTGGGGAAATGAAATCAAAAACAGGTCAATGAGAGGTAACGTTTGATTTTGCAATGGTAATGATGTGCAGTGCTCCCTATGCATTCTCTCTGCTCTAAGACACATGGAGAACTGCAGTGAATTGTAACCAATGCCCTAGGCAACCTTTGGCACTGCAGATGTTTTGGACTACACTTCCCATGATGGTTTGCTAACATTATGGCTGTAAGAGCATTGTGGGAGATGTAGTCCACAACATCTGGAGTGCTGAAGGTTGCCTACCCCTGCTCTCTGGGGAGAATAAACTTATCCCATTAATCTCGGCTAGACAAGAACAGACCCCACGGACCAGAACGCGAGGTCTAGACCCCACGGACCAGAACGAGAGGTCTAGACCCCACGGACCAGAACGAGGGGTCTAGACCCCACGGACCAGAATGAGGGGTCTAGACCCCACGGACCAGAACGAGAGGTCAAGACCCCACGGACCAGAATGAGAGGTCTAGACCCCACAGGCCAGAATGAGAGTGTAGAATATTGCATATTCTATGTTTCTATTGATTATATATGGATGTGTGGATTGACATAAGTAACAGATGGTATAAGTCTGAGAACTCTGGAATGTAAGTTGGGGGTTTTGTCCTTATATGGATAGAGTTATAGTCTGACATCATTATGGTAATATCTATATAGTAACTGAACACGAGGTCTCTTGCTCTCTTGGCTCTCTTTCCTGTACAAAATGTAACTCTCCCGTCAGGAGTCCAGCAATTACCATCTGCTGTTAAATGTCCATTATCCTGTAACATCATTTGTTGTTTTATTATGCATCAGTAACTAAGAATAAACCTGAAGAAACCGTAAGTCCGATTGCGTATTTGTACTTTTCATTAATATAGACATATATATACACAAGACTATATATACAAAAGACGTATATATCAATCAACTGAAGAGAAGAAGAAATTAAGAAGATTTAACGTTGAAGTTCCAACCAGATTTTACAGAGAGGTCTCTGAATGCTGCAGAAGGGGTACAGCAGGAGCTGCAGGCAGACCCACCAAACAGCAATTTTCTTGGTACCTTTGAAGCCCCTTTAATAAGGCTCAATAAGCTCTGTCTAGTGATTTATTTGTATAAACCAATTGCATTTTACAGTAGCGGATTTCCATTGGGTTAATTTGATATTTTGTTGCATTTTGAAGGTTATTATATCTCAGTTCTATATGTTGCACATTGCTTAAGTAAAAGGAAGAATATCAATTTTAGTAGACTTTATCGAGGGAAAAACAGGCGATATTCTGGGGCAAAGAGCTAAACAATGAGAATACACGATACAGCCTTGGCTTTGCCTTGATAACTCTGCCTCAGTTTCTGTGATATCAGACATATTATTTAAAAAACAAACTATAGAGTATACAGGAGGGAGGTCAAAGGCCAATGTACTACGGAAATGTGAGAATCAAATTAAAGGGAACCTCCAGGCACTATAACAACTTAAACTCCATTGACCAAATAAATAAAATAAGCATTGTTTAGTTTATATACCTATAATGAAAACATGGATGTATTAAATTATGCATTTTTTCATTAGGGGGATATCAAAAAACAACTTTCCTGTTAGGTGCCTACATTAGCTGACAGCTGTGGCCGGTGGTGTATGCTAGTTTTGTGCTGCCCTAGGCAGGACAAAACTCAGGCGTCCCCTCACCCCCCGGCTCCCGGTATCACTCTGCGGCGCGCGAGGGAGCTGAGCAGAGCGCTCAGGGGAAAGTGCTCCTTCGCCAGCGCCGACCGACCGACCGCCTGGCTGGACTGTTAGCCACAACAAGACATGTGTGGCGGCTTTTTTGTTTGCCTCGCGGCTAATACGTCCCTGGCTGTGGCATATATTACATTTAGTTTATTCTGGAGTTAAGGAACACTGCGGGGAATAACACAAGGTAAACAACAGATTAGAGGATTGTCTTGTTTGAACTGAAGCCTTCCGACGGAGCGTTACCTGTTGCTAATGATCTACAAGTATCGGTTTCAGCGCACAGGAGCTTGATGTTGAGTAATCACGTAGATTCATGGAATCCTCCTGGTTTTTGGATGCAGCAGCTCTACAAAATACAGATTTTCATTAGAAAGCCATTTGCATAAAATTACAAGTTGCTGGTAACATGTATAACAGATATTAAAATATACAAAAGCAAGTGGATATTCAGCGCTTGTCCAGTACTGGTATTATTATTATTTTATTATTTATATAGTGTCATCAGATTCCGTAGCGCTGTACAGTCCAAAGGGCAGCTAGGTCACCAATCCTCTCTTGTCCCGTAGAGAAGCAGATAAAAACAGAGAGGGAGGAATCAGAGATATATAGTGCAATATGCCAGATTCAATATTAAAATATATAGCCATAAAAGATGTGCACTCACAAGTACTGGAACCTATATTACATTCTACACTATTGTGGTTTTATTTTCTCTTGTACTTATATAATTGGAGAGAGACCACCAGCGCCTATATCCTAGAGTGGGGATCATAACATTTCACGCCGTACCTGTGGAGCCACTCTATAGGTTCCAGTAAACGTGAGTGCACATCCTTTATAGCTATATATTTTAATATTGAGTCTGGCATATTGCACTATATATCTCTGATTTCCCCTACATATCTGCAAGAGAAGCTGCATCCAAAAGATTCTCCTATAGAGACTGTCCTCCACCATATGCTCAGGCGGGGATTATGCCGCCTAAGCGTCTAAGTTGGAGCTGCACCTAAGCTCCTATAAAGTGTGAGTGCATATCATTTTATTTACCCTCACATTGCTGTATATTTTTTTTTTTTACGTACTTCACTATCAGTTTCCTATTTCTCCACCTTTTTCTGGTTATACATACACACTACAAGGACATTCCAGGGTCTGCACCTCACTATGTTTGAATGGACAAGCAGCAACGTGTACGCAAACATAACAAGCACCGAGTGACAAAGTAATAAACACATTTAGCCACATGGGAACAAGGCTTAATCCCTTAAGGACGGAGGTACTTCCCTGATTTCTGAATTAAAACGAAAACCCTGTATTGGAGATATAGGTTTGTTCCATCGTAATTTTAGGGTTTCTCTTAAAGTGCCCCCATACATATAACATATGGTTTGTTAAAGAACAGAAAGGGCTTTCATTTAACATCCTACATCTATATATCCAACACTACCTTATATGTAAATAAAAGAGAAAAATTGAGGTGGGGGGCTTCGGGGAGGGGGAAGGACAAGTAATTTCACATTTTTACTTATAATGTTTACACATCCAGTGCAACTAATAAAAAAGAACTCAAAATAGATTTATATACCTATCTTGATTGTTAAATGCCTAATATACATCTAGGATATAAATTAATTTTTGATAATGTTTAAGGGCCACTATAGTGCCAGGAAAACATACTTGTTTTCCTGGCTCTATAGGGTCCTTGGGTCCCCCTCACCCTCAGGGCCCCCTTCCCGCCAGGCTCTAGGGTGAGGAAGGGGTTAATCCCTTACCTTTTTTCCAGCGCCGGGCTCCCTCGGCGCTGGGGACTCTCCTCCTCCTTTCCCCGTCATCGGCTGAATGCACATGCGCGGCACGAGCCGCACGCGCATTTAGCCAGTCCACAGGAAAGCATTCTCAATGCTATCCTATGGACGCTGGCGTCTTCTCACTGTGAAGCGCCTCTAGCGGCTGTCAATGAGACAGCCACTAGAGGCTGGATTAACCCATATGTACACATAGCAGTTTCTCTGAAACTTCTATGTTTACAGCAGAAAGGGTTAATCCTAGATGGACCTGGCACCCAGACCACTTCATTAAGCTGAAGAGGTCTGGGTGCCTATAGTGGAATTCTCTCCTCCTTGCCGTTCTCTTTCACAATCACACGTAGATCATGCCTTTCCTACCCTTCAGCCGTTCTCGCCGGCTACGGACCAAGAGGTGGCTGCGCTTTTCCTTTCCTCTCGCCTCACCACTTGCCTGCTCGATCCTCTCCCATTTCACCTTATTAGATCTCTCTCCACTTGACTCGTGTCTTCCTTAACGCACATCTTCAACTGCTCTCTATCTTCTGGCGTTGTCCCTGCTGATCTTAAACATGCCACTGTAGTACCGATCCTGAAAAAATAATCTCTAGACCCGTCCTCCCCCTCTCACTATCGTCCTATATCCCTGCTCCCTTTTTCCTCACAGCTTCTGTAAAGACTTGTATTTACCAGTGTGTCTCACTTCCTCAATTCCAACTCTCACCTTGACCCTCTTCAATCTGGCTTCCGCCCTCTCCACACTACTGAGACTGCGCTTATCAAAGATACTAACTGTAACGAAATCCCCTATTTACAGACTATACGAACAAGCCTGTTCGGTTATTTGGAGAATTACAGCGGGATTTCGTGGAAATAACAATAAATGCGAAAGTGGCCGACCCCAGATAGCTATAGTATGGAACTTGCAGTCGGCTGCAAACACACGAACGGCCGGTGAAAGTCAAACTTCGGTCGACAATTCTGAGAACTGTGTTCGTGGGATCTGAGCGCTATTCGCTTAGAATATGCCCTCAGATCCAAGCTATCTGGGGATATGTGGAACTTAAAGTTTATGTTGTGTAAAAAGAAAGTTATATATTTTTATGCTGTTTTGCTAAATAAGAGATAATTAAGGCTCTCTTTGCTACCTTAAGTTAATTATCTCCAGGATGGAAAAGAGGGAGTGACTTATGTAAAAGGGGAGTGCTTATGCTATAGCCACTGTGATTGGCTACTGTGTTACTTTTGTCCCAGTCTTCCATCTGGTCCCTTAGGGGAGTGTCCACCAGGTGGAAGACCTGCATAAATACCGGGCGGGTAGCCCACAGTAAATCAGATCGTTTTACCCCTTCATGAAGTCTCGACTCATGTTTGGGGGATTGGGAGTTATAATCACTTC